TGGAACTATTTAACGTATGTAATGTCCATTTTTCATCAGAATGCAAAAAATGGATGATGAATACAAAGCCAAGTTTGCTCACTCTGGGCCAATTTCATAGAGCTGCTTAAGGACAAAATTTGCTTAAGCACGAGAAACCTGGCTTGATAAATCAGGTAACCAGCCAAAACTCCACATGAGAAACCTGGCTTGATAAATCAGGTAACCAGCCAAAACTCCACATGATGTAAATTGTTTTGGGATCGTATTCAGCTGCCTTCTGGTTAGCATGACAATCAGAGTTAGAGCTGGTAATCTTTGCTTTTTTTTAACAAGGTTTTTTCATGCTTAAGGAAATTTTGTGCTTAAGCGGCTCTATGAAATTGGCCCGGATGCTAATGAAAACTTACTGGAAAAAATGTCCTAAAGACTCATTTTGTGAAGTTGGGTCACAGATGTCAGGCTTTTTTTGGCTCCTTCAGCTTTTACGGAAGACACGGTCTGTGTGGGTGTCGCACGTGTTGGATCTGATACGCAACAAATGGCAGCTGGTACCCTGCAGCAGCTGGCATCAGTGGACCTCGGTGGACCACTGCACTCGTTGGTCATCGCTGGCAAAATGCATCCATTAGAACTGGAGATGTTGAGACTGATCGCCATAGAAACCTCATTATTTGATCGTTTGTTAGAGCAAGCGGAGAAGAGGTAGTGAAAATCATGTGATTTAAGGAAAAAAAAGCAGATTTGAAGTTGTACATATCCGTAAGTATAAATTGTGTTATATATTTTCATTTGTTGCCCTGAAAAGACAATCTAAACATCATATTGTTTTAGATACGAGTCTTGCTTGGGTTAATGTTCCAGTCAGGATCCCTTAGAACTGCCACAAGACCGTCACAAGATCAGCGGTCTGAATGTCATTCACAAGCTATTCAAAGGAAGTACACTGTACAACGAAAGAATTCTTTGCTCGTTGTTCGCCCTTTCACTTGGGACAGGTCTTGACTTGTGCCGGGGGGGGGGAGGAACCAAGCTTTGAAACATGAGGGAGGTGGTGACTGAGGCAGCATCTGCAGTATTAGATTCAACAAGAATGTATTTGTACTGATCCTAATCAAAACGATGAGAGATGCCTTAGAGAGTTCTCTCAGTTTGCAATTCTGTTTTACCCTCTGTATCCCTTCATTGTGGAAGGAAGCTGGAATGTTTGACCATGCCTGTTGTTATCAATTCAAAACACAACATCATTTGTATTCATATGCTCTTTTAATAGTTAGACTGACAGCCGACCACACTCACATAACAAGAAAAAATACAGTTCTGGCTTCAAGAAAATTGCCTTTTTAAGTTAAGCGTTCCAAGACCTAATGCCGAGGCAACGTAGCAAACAAGACTCTAACCATTTGACAAGCAAATCGGAGAGGTTTAGAATTGGAAGAGATACAGATAGAGAACCACTGAAAAAAGTTGAACACTAGAAAATGTTTCAACGAGAACGGTGACTGTTCAAGTTGGGAACCTTGTGGTTCCTGCTGGGAGCAGGTGTCCTCAAACAGGAACTGTGGTCAGTGCCTTGACATGCTTTACTTGGGAATACCAAATGGCCAGTTCCCATTACGAACATGACAAATTCTCCGAGGAGACTCTCAGAGTGACTGGTCAGTTAAATCATTAATTTGCCACTGGTCGGTGATCCTTCCAATCAAGTGACGCAGGAGATGCTAAAACACTGTATGATAACTCTACCCATTTGTCAACAGCAAAATAACAAAAATATTAACAATTTCTGTTCAGTCTCAGCCAAAAAAATAAAAGACACTTTATTCTAGCTCAAACAGACGGTTGGAATTTGGAAGATTTCCAAATGCCAGCCGCTACTGGTGGATTAAGCAGGACTTTGGGGTAAATTCAAATATTTATGCTTACTTTGTTCAGTGATTTGACCCTAGTTTTACTACATATTTCCAAAAGTGGCACTTGGCACGTAACTAAGAAATTTTAAAATGCATGCTAAGTGAATTAAGAAAACACTTCTCTAAAAACCTCCAGAGGATGGGCTGACGATGGTTACACCACATCTGACCAACCTGCAACGCAATTTCCTCAGAAATTAAAATGTACCTCCACCTCCTATTTGCAAGGAATTGTGGTTCCACGTGCATGTGGACATCTCTCCTTGGCTCGCAGATTAAGCACAGAATTTCTGTCCCACTGAACATTAAAGCATTCAAATAGTCATAAAAGCAGAATACTGAAATTAATTAGCACAAAAATTGCCGCTTTCCTTCAACAATGGATCATTATTTCATTTTCACAATTTCACGGCATCACCCCAAGACAAGGTGAAATTTGCCCCGCCTACTTACCTGCTGCCATATTATCAGCACAACTCATTTCTGGAGAAAATCCCAATGTCCAGAATAAGGTGAAAGCATTTTACATTTTAGAAGAAAGGCACAGTTAGGGACCCAATGCATTTATGGCTTCAACGTAAGCATCTCTACAATAAAAGGATTTCCGTTTTTTTTTTATGAAAAGTTTACTTACAAAATGTTCGTTGTGTATGTAATTCTCTAAGGGCATGTTAAAATGTTCCCAGCATATTAATTTGAAAGAAAATAAGCTAAATAAATTGGACACATCTCACAATCTTAGAAATAGCTGCTATGGTAGTTAATATTTTGACAGCAGCATAAATAAGCAAATTTAGTGACGTTTTTGGAGAAATATCTCCAGGAACCCAAAAATAGTTTTTAATTCTGTACTGATGGAAACCAAGAAAATAATCCTTTTCATTGGGATATATGACTAGATTTGTACAATTATGATTTCAGCTTAAAGAAGAACTTGATTCACAATCAAAGGGTTTTTGTTGATGGTGATGACCGTTGTCTGAAATGATTAATCTAAGGTGTGAGTAAAATACCTCCGAATACTTGACACCTGTAAAGCCAACAATTCTCGGGACGAACCTGATTTTTACTGTGATATAAACGAAATGTTGAATCGGCTTGAGATGCTCACTAATAAAAATGGCCCGTGAGGTTTGCTGGGCAATGTCGTGAATGCTCCAGAATCCAGTCAATATACAATATGCCAAGGGAATATTCCTCTCATACACAACAAACCTAGGGCCTGAACCTCCTTGTTTAAGTGTAACAGTGGATGAACTTTAAGGCAACCTCATGTTGAGTTTTGTAGGATTTAGGGTAGCTACAATGTCACATTAAAGGCCACTTCATACTTTGGACGAATGTGAAAGCAAAGCGAATTTGACATCAAATTTTGTTTTGCTCGAATTAAAATGTGTTACGTATTCGCAATGCAAATATTTGATCTGACCTCACAAAATTCACGTTTGTTTCCACTTTCGCACGAAGTATGAACCGGCCTTAACAGAGCAAGACAAAAGTTTTCAGCATTCTTCAGGAGTTGAGTATTCAGGTATAATCCATCACTGGATGTTAATTTTTTTTTGTGGTGACCCACCATTTCGAAACCTACGCTGACGTTGGTAATTTTGATACTTGACAATTCCTTTCCCTCGGTCTTCATTTTCATAAAGTGATCCACAATGCAAAGTTTGTCTACAGAGCGCTTTGGAAGTTAGAACAAAGTTCTATTGTTCATATGTGTATAACTATCCTCCAGATGAAGGCTCGCAAACCCTCAGCCTGGTTTTGGACTGACCGATAACATTTTCTAACCTCCGAACCCCTCTACAAGGAAACAAAAGCCATTCTGACCTGAACAATTAGCACTGCTTTTGAACAATACAAAACAGACAAAAACAACCAGCAAAAATATAGTTTTCAGATAAAACTTAGCATGTTATGCCTTGATAAAAACCCTTTCCAGGGAAATCCCTATTTCGTGTTTTCAGAGTGATGACGGTTAAGTAGGCCTTGGTAGGAAATAAATGTTTTTTTTTTATAAATAATGCTTTTAAGGTCCACTACCATATTATTTTTAAACATTTGTTCAGATTAAAACCATTTTCCCAACTGCTACTATGGCTTAATTTATTTCTGTACATTTTGAGCTAAGCGGGTAAGTTGTTTCTTACCCGTTGACATCTGTTACCAGAAAGAAGCACAACATTCTGCTTGAGCATTACATTACTACTCTGTGCTCCATGTCCACAGGTTGTTGTAAGGGTGGAGGTGGTGGGGGAATTTCATACATCTGGTTAGCACTGAAAAACTGCTTAGCACATTTTCTTACTGAGCAAAATATCAAGTGGGAACCAGTCATAAGCAGTGTAGGTTCCATGGCAATACTGGTTCCTATCTGGATGTTGCTTAGCAATACACTATTTTAGTGCTAAGTGAAATATTGGAGCTCACCAGATGCATGGAACTGGTCCTCTATATCCACCAAAATGCAAACCTCAATTTCAATACAATGCACTACTGATCTCATTTTAATCCTTCGTAAGGAGTCCAGCAGCCGATTTCATGAAACATGCCGTAACTTTGAACCATGCATAATTGAACCATGCGTAAAGCCTTGCACCACAAATGTTGTGCAGAAGCACTTCCATTCAATTTCATGAGAAGTTGCTTAGCTGCATCCCGTTTTAATAATTTCACATTTTTTAGACAAGGATGATAACAGCTGTTACGATGGCTGCTACTCTCAATATCACAACAATTGTCAAACAGTCGTTGCATTACCTCCATCTGCCATTTTGAAAAAGTTTTTGTCTCTTCTTCATCGGAACAGAGAGAAAATCTTGCAGTTCTACAACACAGTTGTATGTTTCTCATATAAGCCTTGTTAAGTTCAGCAATGATGAGGCCTAAACAAACACGATGAGCTAGTCAAATCATTCATTTTTGCTTTGTTTGGTGTAAGTTACACCACCTAAAATGCCTGCGCAAGTGACGCCAAATTTGTTATGTAAGTGGGGACTTGCGTAATGTGTAAGTTTTATGAAATTGCTCTCAATATGTTGCACAACGTGCGCTATAAAATGTGGCGTAAGTGACGTTACGCCGCTGCTTAAAGTTTCATGAAATCGGCTGTAGCTGTCAAGATTGAAGTACTACAGCTAGTGGTCCTGTGGACTTTACCCGTCCCCAATTGGTCCTATGCGACAGCTAGGTCAACCTGTACATACAGCTGCCTGACGCCCGCCTGCAGAGAAGAGAAGAAAAGAAATTCACACTACCAAGAACAAGGTCACTTATGAGCAGTCTAATGATGCAGGCTGACTAAAACTTTCATTTACAACAACCTGGTGACCTTGTATCATGCCTATGTGAGTCTGGGATTGCTGGACTGGTCTGGCCGACCTCTTCGTGCCCAGCCTGCCCAAGACAGGCTTACAACTTGGTCTTTGACCAAAAACAAGGATATTCCAATTGCTTCAAGGATTTGTACAGTGTTTTTCAATTTTCAGTGGCATGAGTGTGAAGTGAAGAAAAAGGAAATCAACTGATCCGAGGAAAGGTTGCATGACTGTGAAGACGGTGGCATTGCTTGTTATCGGTGGGGGTGTGTGCAGGCGTGGCATACATAGTGTGGACCTCTGCAAAACAGAAGTCCACGTAATGTAGGGTGCGATGGCGTTGTGGGGACTCGCACACGTCCACACAATGTTTCCCCCTCTCTGAAAAACAGTTTCAGAGGCATTTGGGGGTCAAAGTTATCTGTGGCAAAATGAAGAGGAACAGTCCAGGAAATCATCAACAATCCAGTTTGATGGAGGTATCCTAATTGGAGAAAAAGGAGCATTTTCCTCAAGTTTCCTTAACCATAGGAGAACAAAGGAATGTCCACACTTTGTATGTAAAACAGGTATGTGTGTATCACAGTATGTCAAAGCCACAAAGAAGTCACAGCCTGTGTTATTGACAAGTTCCTCATTTCTGTCTCCAACACTCTTAATCTCACGAAATGTGAAATATTAGGAACCAGGGTTGTGAAATCATTCTGGTGACTCGAAGGAAATAAATCGTAGTATAACGATGACTTTAAGTAATATATCAAATATATTTGGCTCACTTCTTAGTCTACAAATGACACATACGTGTAACCTGTTGAATAGCTGTGAAGCTTGTGAATTATTTGTGTGTCTCGTGTTTATGAATTTTCAGTACACTGAAGAAGAACTTCTTCGTTACAAAAGCATTCAAATACCACAATAAGGTTCCAGGCTTACAAGCATCAGTCGCATACCTGAGTAAAGATATTGTGCGTTTGGCTGGTAATGTACTTAATGTCAGCGTTGGGTGCTACCTCCAATTTCAGGGTACCAATGAAAACGTCACTGCAGAGAGTCCAGAAGTGAGGTTCGTGAATACTGTACACACCGTCAAGGTTTGTCACCTGGGAAAAAAGTTCAAGTAGAAGGAAATTATTAAGCGAGCGAGGTCTGAGGCCAATTATTCAAGGTGGCCAGGATAAAGGGAAATGTTGTTTTAACACCAAATAGGTTTTTTATTTTGCACCTACCCTGTGGTAGCACCCGGGCAATTCCTTATCAAGAGAGTAGGGTGTACGCATCATTAAAATGGCGGAAGAGTCACGTAGTAATGGCAAGACACTGAGGACGAAGATATCAAATGCGTAGCAAAGTATTAAGTAACGATTTTCAAACACTGGATTGTGCAAGGTCTGTAACCAAAGTCAACACAACCTTGCAAACGGAGTCGCAAATTTAATGGAGCCATTTTCTAGGTTGGAAGAAGTAAGTTCACTGCCACTGTGAATCACTGCATGGCCAAAGTTGAGAGCAGGGCAAAACCTATGGAGGTTTTTCACGTGACATAACATAACGGACAAAGGCATCTCGGGAAGCATGCTATGTCCGTGGATGCCCATGCATTTTCAAATCTGTGTATTTCTCTTTGCAGTTTCATGTACACCAGAACGTGGAGAGACTTTGAAGGGGCGCGCATTTCTGCGCACATTCGCATAAATTTAAAGCTGACCGTCAAAATTCATGTGACTGAAGAATCCTCGATCCCACTGGACTCTCCGAACTGGAATTCTCAAGGACCTACCTTCCTGTGCACTCAGGCCCACCCATTTTTAATCATGTGGATTGAAACTCAACATTGAAAATCTCTATACTCACCTGAGCATAATGAGTACAGCGATAAACATGGAGCAGAGAGAGTCCACCACCAGCCAACCAAAATACTTCATGAGCAGCGCGGAGACAATCACGCCCACGCTGCCCAGTGTATCGGCAAGGATGTGAAGAAAGACACCTGTAACACCAAACACCATCAACGCGACGTTGCTTGAATTTTTTTCGTTTTGGAAACTTCAATGCCAGAGGTAGACAACTTGATTTAATAGTATCTTGGCCTATGTAAATTTATGTGAGTTGCTCAGAAAAAGATCACACGTGAATTAAATGTGACGTGTTCTGTCACAATAATCAAATGTTTCTGGTCAGCTGGTGGAAACCAGGTTAAAATATTTCCCTTTACAGTGATGGTTTCATTTTTGAAAGTAGACTGTCTCTTGCAAAATCATGCCAAGTGGGAATTTGTGATGAAACCGGGGGAAAACTGCTTTTTTTGGTCATCCATGTTCTGTCGTGAAGAGTCGGATTTTAAACTGACCTGCGACCAACAGGCACTGATCCTGCTGCATTTCGATCTCTGTGATCAATATGGAATGACTAAGACAGCTTCTCAGTGGGAGAGATGTGGCTGGACAGGTTGGTATGTTCAGTGACCCACTCAATACAAGTGTTGAAGGAATATATCCGGGTAATGTCAGTTTCAGATGAAATATTCTGATCCTTGCTGAAATAAGTTTCGCCCACTTTGCCACAAAAAGCTTGCATTTCTAGCCCAAAAATCAGGCTGGTCACCAAGCTTGCCATTTAATTTGCCATTTTCAATCTGATTCAGCAGTGGGTTTCAGAATCAACAACTTGCGAAGCAATGTAAGACGCCTCAGAGAAACAACAGCACTGGTAAATGAGTGAAGAAGTTTGGCCTCGATACTCTCCAGGAAGCATGCAAACAGCCTGTCTGACCTACCATGCATGATCTCCTTCTGTGATGATTCCGGGGTGTACTGATGTTCACCATCATCTTTGAATCCCATCCCTGAAACAGAAACGTTCACTCCATGTAATCACTATTCAACCGGCTTCAGGCTGGTTTGGTTTCTTGTTTTTGTTTTTAAAAAAATGAAAATACAGTGGAGCTCAATTCTCCCAAACCGTAATGGGAACCAGCAAATTTCTGTTGTCACATTGCAAACATGTTACCATGCTTATTCATTTCTAAGTTAGAAACCCTGCGAGTAGAGACCGCTGGAAACTGACTGGCTTACCAAGTCCATGGGCGTGACCGTGTCCATGGCTGTGTCCGTGCCCATGGCTGTGACCGTGCCCTACGCTTCCATTGGCAGCACTGCCTGTAAATTGAGGACAGGAATCCTAAATGAGGTCAAACAGTTTTGTTGGACGTTGATGTGTAGAATTGAACTGGCGGATTGATGGCACAAATATGAAAAGTCCAATTTTTGAAATTTGAGTTTGGAAAGAATATTTGAGAAAAACTGTACATGGTTTAGGCTTTTAATCAAATGTAAATGACTTATCCACACTGTAAATTCATCCCAAGCCCACCCACAAATCAGTGATTCATTCGTGTGGTTCTTCACTTAAATTTATCCCCACAACCTTCCAAAGTGGACGTCACTTCCCTCAAGCTCAGAGTCACTTCCTGGACAACAGTTCATATGTATTTCCTAGTGACGCGCGCGCTGGCAGACAGCGGCCACTAAATCCTCCGTACACTACCGAAATTTAGTCCGGGTAATGGTGGAGTTCTTTGCTGCAAACTGTCACGGCACAAATGAGAGCAACATTTTTACATTTCGCTTCCCAAAGAAAAGTCACACCAATTTAAGGAATAAACAATCTGTTGTGAAATGTTGTTAGAACAGAAATCTTCACTTATGTAGTGATGGTTTAATTCCAAAAAACAGACGGCCTTTGGGCAAACTATGCCAAATGTCATATTTCAAGTTCTGCTAGAGCATGTCCCAAATGTTACATTATCCTTTGAACTTACCACCGTGGGAATGTCCGTGGCCATGCTGGAATGCAAAGATACCTATTAAATTTACAATGAATCCCAGAACCGAAACGACAAACAGTCGCTCGTGTCGCACCTCCGGAGGCTCCAGAAACCTCTGTAAAAAAAGGAAAACTACAATCACAATTACACACCAAAAACCCTTCTTTAATCATAATCAAATGATAAACGGACAAATCTGCAAAACAAATAGCATGAATACTTTATATATGAGAGAGAATTGGAATTCAGGACAAAATGGCAATGACAAGATTGAAGAATGTCAAAGACAGCAATGAAAGTGGTACATTACAGTAAAATGGGAGTAATAGAATCTCCAATGACAATGACAATGACAAAATCGATGTCACTGGCGATAATAATGACAAGGAATATCTAAGCCACTTCTTTCACTGTTACCAACACTGACCGAAAATGTCTAAGCATAACAGAGTAACAGAAGAAATCATATTGATCAATTTACCTCACTGACAATACTTCCACGTTAAGTTTCATTTAAAAAACAAAACCAAAGCAAGACTTTCTCACCTCTACAGCTTCTGAGAAGATAAAGAAAGCGATGAAGAGTAAAAACAGTGCATTGATGAAACCAGCAAGAATTTCAGCTCGGACGTACCTAACCCACAAAGGGGAGAAATGGTAAAAATCATCAACGGTATGTTTGTAAATGTCGAGTCATACACATGGCTCATGGTCAGAATCCGGTTTTTGCTTAGCAAATTTTCTTTAGGGCTGAGTCAATTTCAATAATTCACATTTCGAATATTCGACCTTCGGTCTTATCGACTGGCAGATTGTTGATGAACAATCTATACACAAAATCAGTTGCAGTAACGCACACAATTGTACATTATAATCACTACAATAGCTTCTCACATCTAGGAGCATATCCAGCCACGATTTAGCAAGATTTAGAGACAAACAATACTTCTTGTCCTTTAAAAATTTTTAACGAATAATTTACTTTTGGAATCATAAGATTTATGTCAATTTTCATTTGGATCTGCTTGAAACAAGCCTCCAAAATGCAAGTTTTCTCATTTAAATCAACATAAAATTCTCCCTTCATTTTGATGAATTTTGCATTTGAGTATTTGAATTCGGAACATAATATTTGAATATTCAATACTCGATCGAATATCCAGATATTCGTATATTCGGCACAGTCATAATTTTCTTTATGCTAAGCAAACGTGTTCATGCTTAACAATTCCATTAAACTGGCCCCAGACTTTGATATTGCTCTACCTTGCCACATTTATTATTTGCAAGTTTCTGAACTTAAAACCTCCTGGACATTTTTTTGGGCATAAGGTCAATCTGAAGTCAACGTGGTCTTTGGAGTTTTGAAACTTTTGTCCATTTTCAGGCTCAGTAATACCTTCACTATAAGCTCAGCCAAGAAAACGTCTTTTATTTGAAGTGAGAAATACCTCTGACCTGCATAAAAAGCGAATCTCAAACAAGGTGATCTGGGCTTCAGCAAGAGAAGCTAAAACTAGAAACAGCTTCTCTATTCTTACCCATATGAGAATGTTGGTGTTGCTCTCCATTTGGAAATAACAGAAGCTGTCAGACCGGCTAGCAGTGCCGTGCAATCAAAGAACATATGGAAGGAGTCCGAAATCAGGCCAAGACTGAAAAAGTGACAAACGCATCAAAAAATGAGATGTGAACAGTTTTCTTTAACCCCCCTCAAAAAAAAAAAAACTAAAACCCACACAACAAATAAAAACACACGCACAAAAAAACAAACACAGGCAAAATAACAAACAAAACCACTGCAAAGCAAATAATTTAAGATATAAAGAATTAATATAATTAATATATAAATGCAGTGTATAAGGAATTTAAACCAGATGTCATTTGGGAGGCACTCTTGGTATTGAAAAAACAATTTTTTTTTCATTGGCAGTGATTAACCCTAACCCTCCTCAATCCTTCACCTGTTGCAGGACTGAGGAGGGTTAGGGTTAATGAACAGTTCTGCTTTGTTTTCAGCAAATTTTTTAAATAAAACTATTTTGTACGATAAAAAGGAGAAAATGGTGTCTGTTCTTTATTTTACATCAAAAGTGACTAATGAACAGTTGCTCTGTTTTCAGCAAATATTGTTTTTGAAACTGAATAAATCATTTCTGGAGATATAAAAAAGAAAATGGAAATGGGTATCTGCCATTTCTTAGGGGAATATCGGGTCTCGGGTACCTCTTTCAGATTTGCTTTAACTCAAAACTTAACGTGAGCTTGAAAGTTGAATTTAATGCAACCTCTTAAATGAAGTTTAGAAGTTTAGAATACGGCACACAAAACTCCTAACCATACTTTTACTGTCATTGGCAATTATTCACAGAGATTTTGGATGAAGGTAGAGCCTTGTTAACAAAAATCCATATTCCCTTGGAAACATCTATGTCTCTTGTATTTTCTGAACCAGCTGTTCTGACTGACTGAATGCATTATTTACCCACACACAGTCATACGCAGCCTCAGGGAAAACGATGCAAAAAGTCTGAACTACACGTACGAACAATGCTTAAGGCAACAGATTTTCCAATACCTTCACAGGCTGCCTTCTCAATTTCTTTTTAAAATTTTCCTTCTTTCATTGACATAATATTTGGACAATACAGTGGAGTTTCCAGTACCTGGACACTGAGACAAAATGTTTCCACCTACAAGAAGGGCAAATCGACCTAGAATTTAGCTTAGCACCGATATCTGCACTAAGAAAGATACAAATAACCGGACCCAGAAGAGAATTTCTCTCAATTTTCATATGTGTATACGATAAACCTTCAAGCAGGCTCCAGAAATGATTTGTAAACCACGATTCACTGCCGACCAGCCAGCCAGCTAACAAAACAAAACCAAAAAATAATGAACAAACAAATAATGAATTCACATTGATTTGAACAAGACAGGAAACAAAACAAAAATAAACCAAATAAAAACAAAGGGAACTCCAAGTAACACCTACCTGTTTGTCCAGACACCATATGCTAATTCCACAAAAGCAAAGGAAAGATTCAGAAGGAGAAACATGAAGAGATTTCTGGACGTGGGGTCAGAGAAGATAGCCCTGTGAGAGAAAATTAAGACAGGGGGAAAAAATGAGTGAGTTCCATACCCAGCCAAGTGGATTACAAATACCAACAAGTTTGAAAGCTATGGCATGACAAAACATTTAACTTTGACAATTCCAGTTTTTCCAAAGCGGAATGGACTTGTCTTCAACTACAAGGTGAGACCTAGAGTTTGTTACGCTTGGTGGCGTGTACATGGTGGGCGGGGTTTGCATCTTTTATCACACACCCAACGTTTTTTATTTCCATTTGACAAAGTTGGACAGAGGGGTGTAATTGGATGCACAGAAAGAACATCCAATCAGGGTCTATGTGCAAGGTTTACACTTCACGAAAAGACTTGCTTGAATACAGAGATTTTTCATGTCCTTTTTTCTAATGTGGCATTGTATTAACCCTAACACTCCGGAATGCTACAAAGTACTACTTAGTCGTAAAATGTAGTACTCAGCCCTGTCGCTTGTAAGAGGACATGACATTATTATTCTCTGATGCCATAAAATACAATAGAGAAGACAATGTACCATACAGTGCTGTGGCACTATGAATGCATGGTTTCATTGTTCTCTGTATGAATAAAAATTGGAAAAACCTAGCCAGAAATAGTAATTTGTAGCGCTAGGCTCAGAGTGTTACTTAATATTTTATAGTACTGAGTACTCTAAGCCAAACAACGCCCGGTACTGTTAAAATTTGATTTCAAACAGTACAGGCATTATTTTCCTCTTGGAAAGTCCCAGGAGCCATGAATCACAAAAAGAAAGTGAAATGCCCTGCAACTTACATGTAGTGATAGGATTTGATTCAAAACAAAAAAGAATAATGTGACTTTATTTGAGTAAGAAAAACAATGATGATGGTTCATGGAATTAAACTCTCAACCGCTCAACCTCAGGAGAATTTAAAGATTGGCGATTTCAATGTTGGTTGTATAAAAACTAAAATAATTAGGCCAAATGTGCAACTGCTTCAAGGCAAAAACAAATATCATCAATATCAATTAATCAATAAATATACACTTCAATAATCATGATAATTAAAATCTACTTAAACAGATTAAATCCGTAGGCCTATTTAATAACGACATGAACATGATGGATAGGAAAAAAGATTGATTTCGCTGGTTCACTGCACCATCACGCCCATAGCCATGACATATTTTTATACAAATTTCGACTGTCATGTCTGTATGTCATCTACATGAGAATATCGAAAAGGTCATGGAAAGAGTACCATATACATACACACACCACTTGACACCCCGTTATGCCTGTGCATGAGACTGGTCCGAAAAATTTCAAGTATTTTCTAAGTAAATGACTTGGGTTTTTTCCTTCCTAAATTGAACTTTTTTGGGTATGTTTTTGCTTTCCGATGGTTAATAGGTCACTTTATGGAATAATAACTGGTGTCCGTTATAGAATTCTTTCCAAGGTCATGAAGGTTAGGCCCCAGGCCTACTGCTCAGCTCATCAACAAGCGCAAGCATGACATTTTTGTATGACATGACCATGTGTTCCTTCCTCCATGACATGACGTAGGCTAGGCCTATGAGGAGTTGGCCAAGTTACAGCTTGCTGAACATGTTCAACATTCAAAATGATTTATTTACCTCCACCAAGATGAAATCTTCTCTTTAACAGAGAATCCCGGTACATACGTTTCATCTTTATTGTGTATTGGTAACATTGGATGAAAAAAAGTGGACAATTTATGAAATATTTGACAGCAGATGGTAATATCACTCAGGAACAGCGGACTAGCGGGCTATCTTCCGGCGCAGTGCGGTGAGGCACGGGTAAATATGAAGTTTGCTTTCGTGTACATATGCGTTTTCACTGGTATGCATTTTTGTTTATTATCTCAACTTTGCGAAAAGAAGAAACGCGGAACCAGCTTAAAAAAACATATGGCAAAGCAAGTCTTGTTCTTGTAAACTCATATCTTAATACTAGCGGAAAATATTGCTCTTGGATTTTACCAGACTACGTACACTTAATTTGCAATTGCTTTCCCAGTGTTTATACAATGACGTTATGTCCCTTTTGTAAGAAAATAACATAGCTGCTGGCAGTGATTTGGAACAGACTGTGTATGTACTTTCATTCATTTTAGCCAAGATAAAATCTCCATTAGCCTTTTTACAAACAAACCTTATATAAACTTTTACCATTTGCACCCGATGGTAATCCAACAGCCATGAAAGTCAATAATCAAAATGGCGGTGCAGGGGATGGGCGGAATCCCATGTGTAAGTTTGAGCGATTCTAGCGATCTCCGATAACATTTGATTTTGATTGGATCGAATGAGTATCTGTCTGAATGAATCACCAAGTTCCCGAGGGCCGGGATGTTTATTTTTGCTAGGCCTGTGATGGCTAATGTTTGACTTTAGCCAGGCCTTGGCTGTTTGACCACATCATGTTACTTGTTAGGGATGTACATGCATAAATGGGTGAGGGCGCTATTTATTGGGAAACTCATTTTCTTGAATAAATTGTTATTAAAATTCATCTTTTTTTGTACGCTGTAGTTCCTCCATTTAATTACCAATTTCAATTTTTTTAAAAATTTGAACTAAAGCCAGCATTTGATTCATTAAAATAAGGAATAGGGACAAAGATTTTACAAAAAGTGTTTTCAGTTCTAACCCAATGCCCACACTCATTTTTGAGTACAACTAAAGAACCACAGTCCATGTTCTTCTAGTGGCTTCCACCAGTAGGGGCCTACATTGTCATTAGTCAAAAGGTTTATACACATTTTAAACAAGCATGTGCATTGAACAAGCATACATAACACCAACAGTGCAGTACACTTTTATTCAAGTTTTACCTCGTTGCATATGTCCTGGTCCTGCAACTTGTGAGGTACTGTTCCTTTGATCCACTTTTTTCTCATAATTTGACCCCTGTAAACATGTTGAGCCTATTGTATTTTCTGATTAAAATGTGCTGCTTATTATTTGTGTTTTGAATTCCTTCAAACTTTAGATTGACATCATTTTGAAGAAAATTCCAGGTGCTGGTCTTGGCTTTAGCATCGCTGGGGGAATCGACCAGGATAAAACCAAAAACCCTTTCATCCCAGGTGACGAGGTGAGCAAGCAGGAAACTAAGACACTGCTAGCTGTACCTCTCAGATTCTTCAAAATTGGTCACAACAAATATGCAGCACATGGCCTTTTGGCTTGCAACCCATTTTTGCTTAGCAGATACTCTGCTTATCGAGTTTGTGAGCTTATCAGCTCTGTGAAAATTGCCTCAGGAGATTGCAGAATTTTTGAGCTAAAAGAGTACTTTTAAATCATGCCAACATAATGTGCAGCAATTTATTCAAAATGTTGGTAATAGGCCTCTCAACAAACTGACCAGAATTGCTTTAGGATTTTGAGGCAGTGGTTATTCCCGCAGAGTTAAGTATTAAAGAAATAATGGAGGAATTTTTGGAAGATAATGTTGCAATCCATTTTTTTTTTTACATGGCGGCAGTGGGAGGATTGTGCAGGACTGAGGTCGCATCCTATCAAAATAGACCAAGTTTTTCTGAATGTTTTCTAAACAGGGAATCTTTGTGAGTGCCATCAAGCCGGGGACACCAGCAGAACTAGCAGGGTTGGCAGTTGGGGACAAGATACTAGAGGTATGAACTTCTCTCAGGCATGATGTTGTTTTCAGTTGCAAAATGTAAATTTGTTCAAGTGACAAGATACAATAACCATTACAAAGTTGGACTTTACGAATTCTGTCGTCTGGTGGTCATAAACTCCAAGACAACGTTTGCTTCAATGCCCAGCCATGCTCACGGCTGCTTGAGGGTTCCAGAAATGCTCATCCTGTGTGGACTAGTGCGTACTCAGTAGTAATCATGGGAACTACAAATGCATTCAAATTTACAGCGTTAAACATTGTTTCAACTGATGTCTATCTTTTCTTGTCCTTATTCAGGTCAACGGCCTAGACCTGACAATGTCCACGCACAGCCATGCCATCAAGCTACTCACAAAGGAGAAGTTCACGGTGCTGAAGATGAAGATTTATCGGCGGGGCATCTAGGATTGCCCACCGCTCTCAGCCCCAAGGCAGTTACCTGCTTACCAGGGAGAGCTTCGTGCTCAGCAGAATGTAGATCTCTGGTAAGCGTGTATACTATGGGTGTGTCCTCCTGCATTGAAGCAGAGGAATACTAGAATTGGTGAATCAAGTTTCAGAACCGGAAATATCGCCTCCCACCCTTTTTTTCCCCACCCCCCCATTCCACCTTCACCTTCATTCTAAACCACTTCTTTTTTGGTGGAAAAATTACAGAAAAACCACTGAAATACCACATTTCTGTAGCTGGTTACAAATGAGTCGAATCCAAGTGTTTAGTAGATTTTGGCAAAATACCAGTTTACCATCGATCTTGGACTTGACTGTCTGTGCTCAATGCAGGGGAGAAAAAAGTCTGTCAGTGAGCTGAGAGACTTTGAAAGTTTCAGGCAGTTGCACCTTCCAACCTCCCTCTGCCTACCTTTACCTCTTTATGGGTCTGCGAAAAGTAGGAACTAGTTTTGATAGCTTGTGGAATTTTATCAGAGTGTGAGAGCTTGAAAGTGTGGAAATAAATGCACCATTTGGGTATATTTATGTGTGTTTTGCCTCAAGAAAGTTAGATCTACGAAGTTTTAAAGCAAATTTCATTTGAACAACTCTCAGAGTTGCCTGTATGCTAGCATACGCTTATCTGTGTGAATTTTACACATTTTAGACATGTATTGTGTAGGAAGCGAGCACGGATGAGTACAATTATAAACATTCAGTAAAAAAAATTTAAAAAACAGTACTTGCTGAAATCACTTTATTGGACAATTATTTTGTGTGACAATTTGAAGTGTGAGTTTGAGCCTTCAACCATTCAATTGGCGTTCAGATTGCTTCTGGGTGATATACTTGTTGCATTAGGAAAGATTGCCTGGATAGTGCCAGATGAAATGTATGTGATTAGGGTATTCCAAAGAACAAAGTTAAATGTATTCTTTCTATCTGTACAGTCTTAGTCCACATTGAGTTTGTTGTAACAGGATCCAATCGAAAGACGTCAGCGTGCCATGTGGCCACACATTATCCCTGTGATTGGCTACCCCTGCAGTAGGCAGATGTTTGGTCAGCAGTAGATCGATTGCACCTGCTAAGTCACGTGACCTGTGGGTCCTGAGCTGGACCAAGAGAGGGCGCAATTTTCCTAGCAACAGAGGGTCCTTTGGTACTTGTAGAGTACTAACTGCACATCGCTGGCTCACGAACGACTGTGAAACGTAAACGTTGCAGTTGCGTCGCTACCAACAACAGGAACACTCCCAATCAATAGAGCTCTTTTCGACCAATGAGAGGGGTGCCTCTGGGTATCAAACATCAACAAACGGACCATCCTCCCATAGCAAAGTGTGTCACAAGTGTCATTTACCAAATATAAAGCCGACGGTTGGTAACGTAGTCAGACTACTGATGTGCTGAGCACTGTACGGAAAATCGGGAGTATTTTTGGTAAACAACACTTACAGTATGACACCCTTTGCTATGGAAAGAGGCCATGTTTGTTGACGTTTGATACCCACTATAGGTCATGTAACTTAGCTGGCGCAATCGGTCTGTTGTACATTGTAAACAAGACAGTGAGGCTCGCTTTCACGTAAAAGAATAGTGAGTTTTTGTCAAAAGGCGTAAAGGTCACCACTTGGTTGTCGTTATTTAGCACTAGGTGTTGGCTCCGCATTTTTCTTAATTTTTTTTCCCGTTAACATGTATAAAACTGACCTATCACATGCATGTTTATGTGAGTGCCATGTCATTTCGGTCAATGAGATCACCCGATACTATTTCATTTGATAGTGATTCAAAATACAAAGTTCCAGATTGACAAAGCTCATCTGCAAGCGCAGGAGTGCCAAATACACTTATCCACTCAATGCCAAAGTATTCCCCTATGAGCGAGAGAAAATGAGTGACTGGGCACCCGGCGGCGTCTAGTGGCCCGTACATTTCCAATAAAAATGAACCTGTGTGCATATGCATTGTGTGCCCATCAGCGCTTCTCTATGCACATAGCCTGAGCTGAAGAGAAAGGTCCGTCAGTTCTTAGAATTTAAGTTTGATGACATACCCAAAGTGTAAAGAACAGGCTCGTGGGTAAAACAGAGTAGACTTTATTTGAAGATTACAAAGTGACAAATTTGGAAGTGACTAAAAGTCAAATTGATTGATTTGACAGTTGTTTATTAATGCAATAAGAGTAACAGTGGCAGTACTGGACAAAAACCAAAGCTTTGAGTGAGGTAGTTAAACGGCTTTGTAGTAAACTTATTCGGATTAAGCGATTTACATGTAGGTAAGCACTCAGTTTTTAGTGATTCAGTTGAATGTATGTTCGGATTCAATTGGAGCAAGCCTTTATGTGGCTGTAACGAGTGCATGGAACTAGTTGGAAACATTTGACCAGGTTGCCTTCTGTGACGGCAGGCAGCACCTCAGAGGCGTCTAAACATTGTGTTGGTTGTCATGTACAGATCTTGAGGGTGCAGCTTGTTTGTTAGGGTTGGTAACTCTCGACCAGATTGTCAGGGGTTCGATTCCAGCTGTTGGCCATATGCTGTATGCTTAGGCCAGCCACTCAGGAAAGTAAATGAGCACCGGCATTGGCTGTGGAGTAACTTATGACGGGCTGGCATCCCCATACAAGGGGAATGGAACATTCTCAGTCACTTCACGTGGGGGAAACTGGAGATGAACCCTGGCCCAGTGAGCCACACTGGTTTGAATCAGACCGATTGCAAAACCGTCTTGCACCCACCTTGTGTTTTCTCAAGTGGGGTTACCAATAATGTTAACTATCGCAAAGTTTGCAATTGTTCGACAATCGTGTGAGGGTTTTTTAAGTAGGCTGCAAGAAAAATCAGAGTTTCGGGCTTAAGGACTTGAAAAAAAAAAAAAACACCCCACACACAAAGGTGCCATCACAAGGTGTGTGTGAAAATTAATTCAGTCTTTAACAGGTCGATGCACTTTTGCAGTTGATAACCCAGTTTACTGCACAGGGTCAAATGTACTCGTGATTGGTTCCACGAGTTTGAATAAGAGATGTACACACAGGGCATGTTTTTTAACGAGTTATACATGTACCTTGCTACAAGAGGATAACAGACACATGTATTTATTTGTGACCCACCATCCCAAAACCAGGCTGAAGTCGGTAGTTGTGATGTTGGACAATTCCTCTCCTTCACCTTTTTTTTTACACTTCAAAGTGATCCATGTTAAGACAAAATTCTGTCTTCAGACAGGTTCATACGATTCGTGATAGCTGTGGAGCTTCTATGAACCATGAAAGTTCCACTTTTTAAGGAAAACGAAGTTACCTACTGCAGCCTGCTTTTGGGATGGTGGGTCACATTTGCCATTTTATTTTTGGACTGTGTATTTATACCAACTTTGAACAGAAATTCGGGTGGTAGTTGATGATTGCACAGATGCCTCAAATAGTTACTTTAGATATATTCTATGGTAACATCGGCCCTGGTGTTGCGATACAAGGGCTGTCCCCTAACACGCCAGAATTCTTGATGCTCATTGGCCGTTACAGTGGAAACACAGTCCAGGTAAGGGACGTACAAGTTGACGACCCAATGCGATGTAGAACAAAGTGAAATTCCGACCTTGGTCACAGATGTTGGAAAGTGAAGAAAGTACCACTGCACTCACCTGACACTCCAACTTTTTAGAATCACCTTGTGGGCATCAGTGCATGACTCTACTTTATAGGCAGTTTACTTACATATCCAATCAACCAGATAGTAGCTTCTCTGACTGGTGTGAAACAGTTTAAAGCGCAAAATCCATGTGTGAATGTTTGTGTGGTGTTGAACCTCAACATCAAGTTGGTAGAGCTTTTTTGAAATAATTTTATATTTTGCTACAGTGGTGCTGTAATGTAATTTTATTTTAGGTACTTTATGGTGCAGAGATTGTGGTTTGAAATTATAATGAATTGTATTTTTTAAAACTACTGTGGTTGGTTTGTGAAGTATATATTGCATATACCCTTGGGGGCTATTAAACTTAATACAGGTAGTTTTGTTTCTCTTTAGTTTGCCTCTAGTATTTTTTTCAGACATTTCTTGTACTTTGGTGTATTCCGTTAATGTTGAGATTATATTTAGCTACTGCAAAGGTGAACTTTGGGTCGTGCTGTGTTTGGCATTTATAGTGACAAATCTGACAGTTACTTTCATTACATTTATAAACAGTGCCTTGTTTTCTGATCATGAACAAATTTATTGGGCAATAAAATGAAATATCATTTTGAGGAAGCAAAAAAATTGGATCATGGTTTAATGTTCGTTGGTTTGTTGTAATTTTTAAGACCTTCACTTGATTCACAAAAAGTAAGATTGCAAGCATTGTTACTTAGAGACTGATTAGCAATTTAGCACCAGAGCCATGTATAGAGACAGTAGTGCCAACTTCAGACTTTGGAACCAAAATGGCTGTTCATTATGCATGCAGTACAGCATGCACCTGTTGTAAACACTGATGCATAATCCACAATTTTGGTTCCAACAATTAAGACACTCATGTCACAACTGTACATTAACTGCTCTGATTAGCACTGGAGGTACCAGACCATCCACAACAGCTGTAACAAATGGAAGAAGTTGTGACACAATTCACATCTCCAGTATTTCACAATGTCTCCTGACGTTTATTGACGTTAACTTGACACATCTTGAGACAACAAAAAAAGATATCTGAAGTAGACTTCAAACCCACAAAAGCATGGTCAGATGGTGGTCAACACACCTACTACCTCTGCCTTTGGCAAAACGTGCAGTTTTATGGCAACCAGGCAATCCAACCATTTTGGCCACCAATTATGATCAAGTCTACCAAGAGGACACCGCTGATCTCTAAACCAAAATCTGAATAGGCTACTGGCTCTTGGGGGTCAAGTCACGGTCCTCCACTTTACAACTCAAGAACAGATTGGAGTGGTTCCCTCCACCCATTCCAGTGGCAGGAGACTGGGCACCAGCCACATAGCTCTCAACGGCCAGTAAGCTATCAGGGTGGACCAGTGGTGAGCAGACACTGCTGACACTGCAGACTCGGTGTGCGATTGAAGAGAAAGTACTGTGGGTTGAGAAGAGCATCAGTAAAAGCACCGAGTCAAGAATGGAAGAGGTTTCCATTTCAAAGGGTTGGCTTACTGGCCGTCCGTACCACTGCACGCTGCCACTCAGATGCAGTCCATGAACGAGCCGCGCACCTTAGACTGAATAAGAATAAAGGATGCACACAGCCAAACACATAGCTCTTGTGGGTTTTCCTTCTGACAAACTAACAAGGTGTAGATGCCTTTCCCCAACTCAGTCATGCATGTACATTTCTCTCCACGCTGTTCTTATAAACACAATAGTCACGTTAATATTTATACCATAACTCTCTACAAATTAACATATTAAACCCTGGAAACAAACCAGATTCCAGAATATTGAGTTGTCACACCTTAACATGTTACAAAGAAATTAAAACAACAAACATAAATCTCAAGTTTTTTGTTAGAAAGTATACAGTTGCCAAATTTGACGAGAGCGAACTTGGCCAAAATATTGGCTTGGAGAGCAACGCCAAGACTGCTCAAATGAAACTGACCAAAATGCTTCAAAAAAGCGACGTAAGTGATGTAAAGATACCCTTGAGGCTATCTGTGAGCAGCATGTCTAGCACTGAGGGTGCATGCCAGAATGGTTGGTTGACAACTCATCAAACAAACCTATAGTCTTGGCTATGTTGCTGTACACTTGACCATCGCAGTGTATGCAAATCAGTCACATTTACATACAGGTCAAAGGTAACTACAGAGGGCCTTTACCTAATAACACTAGCCATCTGATGTACCAAACTACAAATAGAAAGTAAAGCCATACGTTCATATCTGGCTGAACTAAGTTCTGGGTAAACTGGTTAAGCATTCATTTGTGGACGGATTTCGTTATAAAATGAATACACAATGCATGGACGGGTTTGGCATATAAAAAGTGTTTATACCATAACTCTGTGTGTTTTCTATAATGAAATTCTGTCCAGACTGAATTGCCATTTGTGGACGGATTCAAGGAGCAAAAGTTGAGAATTCCTGATCTTTTGAGTAACATTTCTATAACAAATATCACAAGATTAAAACACACATGATCGTGGAGGGTTTTTACTCATAATAGTATAAATATTGCTCTGATTTGCAAGCCAGTTTAGAAAATCTCTCATAGCACTTGACAGTTATGGGGGTTCAGCCTCTTTTTTAACCTTCCATAATGTCTGCTTGTTGTGCTTTGGCAATATTCTGCACACCCTAATTCAGGAAAGTGTCAGATTTGTTTGATCTTGTATTTTCACTAAATTTAATTCAATAACATTTGCAGGTGTCTCATTTTAGGGTCAAGGGCTTAGCCCGAAGATAGAAATTTCTTACAATACGCAGACGTCGTCATGTGCTAAACAAAATCACCCCCTTCTTATAAAATTTTCCTAACAGTTTGTATCAAAATTTTGCGGCCTCAACGTCAATAACATGCATAGTTACCCTTTCCTTCAAAAGCATAGTTCTATTAAAAAGGACAGCATCACATCCTTGTCTTTTGACTAATCATATCCTCTGTAGTTATGTACCCAACAGTGCAAATTATGAAACTCTTGATGACAAGTTGACCGCAAGCCCTTCTCATTACGTATTCAACTGTTATGCATGGGCTGATTTCAATGGCTCCACCCTCATGGCCACACCCTCATGGCCACACCCTCTGTGATATTTATGTAGAGTATTATCCCTGATGAACAGTCTAATGTGCGTGTATGATGTATGTGTGTGTGTGTACATGCATGTTTCTCACCAGAAAACCCAACCGTTTGTGCACATTCAGCTGAAAATATGCTGAGCACGCTCCATGCCATTTACACAAGTGCAAACCAAGGCACCGCATAAGACCACCACCAAGTCCATGTGCATGACATTTTCAAGTAACTGGCTTGGAAGGCATCCTGAAACTCCCTTTCAAAATTTTCAAGCAAAAACGTACAAAAGCGTTACGACCTATACATAACTCTTCCGCCCTGGTAAAATGTACACTTTAAAAAACATTACATTACAGTCTTAAATACTTAAAACGGACGGCAGGTGAACCAAAGTATTACATTTCAACCTCCATGAGCCTTTTTGGTGGCAGTTCAGACTACAATATCAGCTCCAACACTCAAACAATGGCAAAGTTACTGTTCATGATATGTCACAGGATACACACTTAAGAACTAATATTTTGTCGTTCATACTATATCTGCTCTTTGTTCTCATCTTAAAATTGTTGACTTCAAATGCACATAGGATACACACACAAGCATTGCAAATGAACACAGGTAGATTTAACATTCATCCGAAATGTTCACTGGACGGACTGCGTAAGGGCATCAAATGTACAATTAATACATGGATTTACTTCACACAGGCTAATCAGTTTGCACAACTTTCCACATAAAAATCAGATTTCACTATGGGGCTTTCACAGTAGTGCACCTCCAAGAGTTTGCAACGCATTGGCCAATCACAGTGTGTGAAATCTGTCGACCCAATGGACGTTTGGAAACTAAAAGGGTCGACAGATTTTTGCGTGTTGTGATTTGGCCAACCCACAAACTGCAAACTCTTGGAGATGCACTCTAGTGAATCGCCCATTTTGGACGGAGGGAAAAGAATCCGGCAGGGCGACAAATCACTGGAAGAGTAGCAGGTGGTAGATACGGAACGTCCGAACTGTTGTGAATATGGGTTGTTTTGCAAACAACGGACAGAAACAAATGCATTCAAGGAGTGGGGGGGGGGAAATCCCAATTCCTGGCAGGGCCGAAAAGGGAGAACTTGCTGGGGATTAAATCAACACAAAGCTTTTGACTTATCTGAATCTATCATGACATAGTAATACTCTTTGACTGATTTAAATTTGCCACATAGATATGCTGCCTCGATGCTACTCAAATTTTTGTGCATAAAAATATCTCTCTCTCTTGTTTGCCAAGGACTACAAAGGATTCAAACCTTTCTGAGTAACACTGTTTGTTGACAAACTCACTTTCCTCGTCACTCTTAAACTACTGATATATTTTACATTCCATATACATAAAAACAAATTAATTCCAAGTGCTACTTACATTGACATCTTATAAATACATTTCTGGGAAGTAAAAAAAAAAGTCAACTGACTCCCATGCTGCTGAATTGATGACGATTGTCTATGTGATTCAATTGATTTGGGAAAAAAAAAAACGGACGGGACACTTGATTTTTTTTTATACAGAACTATTCATAAAAAATCAGTCTAGTTCATTGATCTCATTTTAAATTTATGAAATTTATACTAGCTCTCATAAAATATATGATTTCTTTTACTATGTACATTTTTCAACAATACTTTGTCTTTCTATAATGCTGCATTTTCATTGAGATCAACTTTCAGAAACGTTTTCCTTCCTTCAACATCCCCCCAAACTATGACTATTTCAGTTTATGTTCTCTAGACTCCCACCTGGGAAATTACGTTGGAAAATATTACTTTGACCAATCCCTCAAAAAAACATAAATAAATAAATAAAAATGCAATAAAATCAATCAATGAAACAAAATTAGGGAAACAATTGACAAAACAAGCCATTGAATTCCATAAAAACCATCTGTGAAAATATGCACATCTGTTTGTGGACAGCGGTATTACAAAAAATAAGTCCCTACTTTCAGACTAAAATCTCACTTCTCAAAATCACGGACACTGAGTAAAATTCAACCAATCTGGAAAAACGTTTCTACTTCAGGGCGAAACTCCCACTCCACCCCAGAAAAACCGCACAGTCACACTGTCGACTGTAGTGTGTGACTGTGCATATGTGTGTGTGTGTGACTGAAACGGTCAGCGATCTTCCAAAGAGAGCAGAACCAACAGATTTGCATTCGCGCGAATGGCCTAAAAAAATCACAGCAAGAGATCAGCACAGCGTCGGAAAACATCACCACCATTAACATAGGGCAAGCTGGACGTTTTGACAACAACTCTCCCAATTTCAACCTATTTTTGCAATCAAGTCTCCTTAAAATGCACCGCGCCCATCCAGCCATCAGCCGGAGACCTTTTATTTTTGCTTTGACCGTGTGACCATCTGCTCTCATCCAACTCTTTTTAATGCACGAGCCAACCAATCATGGATGACCCTTAGCTCAGATCCACCAATCAGAGGAGGGGAAGGGGGAGGAGGGGGAAGGTGTTACGATGGGCCGTCGGCGTAGACAGCTGATAGTTGGCTGGGACAACGGTCCACGGCGTTCATTTGCAGGAGTGGGCTGTCGTCGAGGGACCGGCCAGCGCTCAGAATGCTGAACTCTCCTGGGCTTCCAGGCATGTCTCCGTTAAGACCTGACCACGAACAAGATTTCCAAGAAGAAAAAAAAAGAGAATAGAAACTATACAAAAAGACAAAGCTAATGTCAAAATCTTTGATCCAATCAGTTACAAGACAGCACCAACACAGGACTGAAGCCAAGCACTGTGAACAAAATGGAAAATACATGTGACAATCAACAATTATAAGCAAATATTACAGGTAAAATGGGTTCCTGGCATGACCAATTTTGAGGATGCTGTGCAAGTTACTCTGGACAGAGAAGCGCAGGTGTTCCCCCAAATCAAGAACGCACACGTACAAGTGGTCCTGAGCCCGATCAAGCCCTGCACTTCATCGGCATTGCCAAAATGCCGATTGCATGCCCCAAACCAGCCACGTGCAGCGCAAGCCTTGGGAAAGTAAAGCCCACCATTGTGGATGAACTGGAAAATGAGCAGAGCGCCGCCCCCCCCACCAGCTGTTTCCATAGCCAACCACTGGCAGGCAGTATAGTGCATGGAACCCGTAACGCCATGTGTTCCGATTTTCGCCCGTTCAGTTCAGATTCTTCAAGCAAATGAAGGAATACAAGAAGAAGCCACCATGGCTGCAGCGAATGTTATGGAGGATGAATATCGACTTGATCGTATAACATAAACAAGCCAGTATGAGAGAGAAGCCGACTATACCCATTTACAAACACCCCCGCAAGGTGCAGCAACATCAAGCCACATTCAGCCAATAAGCAAAGAGGGCAGTGATTCAAGTGTCACCACAGAAACAAAAAAGAAAAAAATCAAGTGACCATTTCCGCGAGATGACCAGTGCAAAGTGCCAAAAACCTTACACTTGCAATACACTGATACAAGTTGATCCTGGGGGTGATTGGCAGGTGGTCAAACAAGGTAGGCAAGCACAACTTGGGTCAAAGGTCACATTGTCTGCATTGGTTGAGGGAAACAGGGCCAAGGTCCTCCAAAAAAGGTTTTGTTGTTATAATATAAACAAAATTGGGGGTGAAGACTTTTCACTTCTAAAGCGTACAAAAAGCCCCATACAAAAAGCCTCCCCCCAGCATTTTGCACCCCTTGGATATACCGGTAGCTTTCTGGATCCGTCTTTGATTGTGGTCTACTGAAAAAAAATTCACAGGACATATTTTTTCCCCTTGCTGACAAATTTATAGTAGAGAACCATGCTTCTTGGACAAAACTTACTCAGCACTTCATCTCCCGAAAAGACTGATTTATCTGTATAGTTTGGAATTTAAAGGAATTTTTTCATTGACACTTTGAGATCCAACAACTCTAGTGTGAACTACATCTTTGTTGGCAGTCTCACTGAAAAGTTCACGATGAAATTTCGAGTTAAAAAATTGGCAATTCGATATGAACGATTTCCTGTGACTAGTGAAACCAAAGAAGCAGAGCATAATGCAATTTAGCACACCCAGCGAGAAGGGGATCAGTCTTGAACTGAATAATGCAACTGACGCGATCACATTTTAGCTGGATGAGAGAAGAGATTTAAGCACAAATGTCAGCCGTAAGACCCAGCCCAAACCCACTGCCGCCACCACCACCACCGTCACTGCCTAGCATGGAATGGTGCAAACTGGGTCACAAAACGAGACATCACAAAAGCCAACACGCCTTCAAAGGAACAAGTCGCTGACTTGCACACTACCTACCGTCCTTGAATAAATTGTCATGAAACTTCGTATCCTGCAGGTTGGATTCACAAGGGAGGGAACAACTTCTGATCAACATTTTGCAACTCGTGACAAGTTGAAAAAGAACCAGCTTTAATTCAGGCATTAGACTTTAAAAAAAAACAAAAAACAAAATCTGTAATCAATCAGGTATGAGCAGTGGACATGTTTACAAAGAGTTAAACTTGCCAAATCTTGGGTGTGCCCAAGGTTTAGGCTGTAGGTGTTAGTTTCACAAATTCATTTCCTGGACTGGAGAGCCTCCAGGTCAGTGCTGTCTTACTTTCTCATCACAGCAAAATCGCCTCATCTCACATGAGACAAAATTTGAAAACACTGTCATTGTTTCCAACAGTAACTGCTTGAATTGTCCTGAAGCCAAAAGTGAAGCCTAAACCCAAAGAAAAAGCAAAGTTTTGGAAACGAGCCCCCAAATGAACTCCGAGTCTCCCAGCGTGAAAAACTAACGAGAGCTGCCTCGGTTTTCTAAAAGACTGTGGTGTTGATCACCAACCTCTGTCAGAGCTGGAGTGCGCTGAAAGGACTCTCTCAATGGCCTCGTACTGGGCGGGCGTGGGCGACAGCGTCTCCTCAAACGTGGGGATTGGGTACAGCCCCCGGGGACTGGGGATGTGCCTCAGCTGCTTGTAGTTGTTGTTGTTGTTGCCGCTGCTGCAGCCGCCGCTCTGGGTGGCGGGGCGGGGCATGGGCTGCAGCGTCTGGAAGGTCAGGCTGGGCAGGCTAGGTCGCACCTGCAGCAAGCGGTGGTGGCTAATAGGCGGCGGCATGGCCCTTCCCGCCTGGGCGTCCGACGTCTGGGAGGCGGACGATGGGGTGGGAGCTGTCAGGGGCGGGGCAGGTGAAGTCAGGGGCAGGGCCGCATTGATTGGGGACGGCGGTGGCGGTTTTGCCGGCAGCTGGATTTGTATCCTTGGTGTGATATTACCTGCAGTGAACAACGTGGGGAAAAAGTGCAAAACAGTTTTTCAAAGATGTTGATTAAAACGGTGCATTTTTACAAATTGTACAAAATTCTTTAGGCTTTGCTATCTCCAATCTTTTCCCTTAATTGGAGACACACATCACTGAATTTCACAGCAAATTCAATTAAATGGGATGATAAAAAAAATGAGAAATGATGAAAAGGAACTGCAGGAGGGCGCTGTTTTAGTGCTTTAGTGGAGTTCATCACAAGTCCTTTCGGAAGTCCAGTCACAAGTGACAACAGCAGGAGGGCCAGTGACAAGGTGACAGGTAATTTGAATGGCTTTTGACTTGGCTTAAAGACTTGATCGACGTGGTGCATTTGCAGGAACTTGTGAAGGACTTGACTACATCACTGCATTTTTCAAAGCACAGGTCTGTAATTTTTTTCCCTAAAAACATTTGACAGTCTTACAGAAACCTTTAGGACAGAACAAATATTCCAGTCTGGGTATCCCTTGATGCCATGCCAATCACTCAGCATGACAGGCTTGCGTGATTGTGGGTGCCATGCCCCCGGCTACACTCGCAAGACCAGAGTTTGTTGATTCAGAACTGGATAAATGCTTTTTTTCTTATATTTTTTGTTTTCATCTTACCCATGTTCATGTTTTCCGTTTCTGGCTGTCAACAACTGGAATTTCTTTCAGGTGGTCTCAGCAACTAGACTGACAGTTAAAAAAAAACCATTCCAGGGGTGGGGGTGGAGATTGTTTTACGTCTTTCATGCGATCTAACCAGACCAAATTGCAGTAGTTAGAAAAATTAAAAACACTCATCTGAAATGTCTCCAGAAACATTCCTTGGGGCGGCACAGCACAAAATAGTGGCCATATTTCTGAAGATAACCAACTGCTTGTGTTTTACCACTTGATGCCGGATGACATGCAAGCACATAGAAGTTGCCATATTTGTTCCGAGGAGGACATGTACACTCGTTTATGAATTCTGTTTTCGTTTCCAAGGTTGACGTATTAATGCATCGTGTTTGGTCAGGTCAGAGCGCGAGGTTGAAGAATTTGTGCATTAAAAAAAACCTGCCCCTGCAGCTTTTTTTTCCCAGTAAGAAAATCCGGCATCAACTGGTTAATTGCCTTGACCGTCTGCCTGTGATGTTCACTTCCTCATGGCACACAGGACAATGATGCTGTTGACATTAAACACTCTCGTTGCCAAAGTATACCCAACTTCTTTTCAATTAAGAAAAGGCTTTTCAAAGAGAACTGTGGCCATTCTTCTAAATACACGCAAAAATTACCCAAACATGTATAAGCGGGTATTTGGTACATGTATGACATTTACGGACACAAATGCCATGTCAGATGAATCCTTTTCCATATTAAAAGGAAACAAGAACAAAATCCAACATTTACAATATTTTGTCAGGAACATTTTTTTTTTCATGAGCATCAGACATCAATTGTGTTTTTTATCTGTATTACACAAGTTAACTTAATGACACAGTGCTTCAGTATGAATTAGAAACATGTCTGCGTGTCAACTATTGTTAAATCTCTAGAATTTAGGACAGGGGGATTATTCTTGCACGTTAAGACGAAAAGCTAACATCGATTACTGCTATCGTTAAGCAAAAATGCACACTTGTTCCACATGGTTTAACATGGAATCTACACTACCTGGGATAACACAGGGTAACCCCAAGTGCAAACAAGAGGTGGGACCAACTGACAAAACATCCCAGACCAGGAATTACTGAGTAGATCCTTCAAGGCCATTCACCTACAGATTATAAAAGCCATGCAATGGGATGGTTCTCCGTTAGAAATATTCCGTGGCAAAGGTCTGCATCGATAAACTTGTTGAAATCACTCCTGCCAATATATCCTTTCAATGCAATTGGAAATATTTCCTGAAATGTGTCGAGCACCCCTTACCCACAAAGCGACCCCTATATTTAGCACTACTGCCCCGTTTTATAAATATGGTTCATATTTGGAGTAGCCTGATCTCTCAGTTTCTTAATAGCGAGAGATGCCCTGCAGCTAAACGTCTCAGACAAAACATTCCCAAATCCCAGGACGAAGGTATTATATTTCCCGAGCTTGTTATTTCACTCACTCTATGCAAATGATATAACTGCCTGCCTATCTGCAACTATGTCACTCCCATTTTGGAGTCCAAAATGAGACCAAAATGGCAAAAATTGGAAAGCAACACGGTCTCAAAAAGCTGCTCTGCTCTCGGTGGTCCTTACGAGCCATTTCAAGGTTCAGTCTCAGAAGCCTTCAATTAAAGGCTAGGCCAGAGAGACCGCAGACAACAGTATGCAATGCCCTCACACTCTGGCACACACCCGGCATACTTCTCCCCTATTTTTTCAGGAGGTATGCATCTACGGGGGTCATGGCCAAGTTTTTATGAACAACTGACAGATACACCAGGCTCGGGTTTCATAAACCCTGGGCCTGTCTGCCATGTTTGGCTACCAGTCAATGTGAAGACATTCTGTTGAGTAAGATCAAGGCCCTTTTTTCATAACTGGGCTGGCCCAGACGCCCAACAGACAGGCGGAAGAATGCCTCCTAAGGTCTGGTGGTGTGGCAACTGGATCACACACGCGTGCTCTTGGCGAGGTTAAACGACGCACACACGTGCATTCAGCCTAGAAATCTGGCACGGTTTGGGCTGCAAAGAAATAAAATTGAAAGCTGAAGTTGGGAACAACCTCATTTGGTGACCACCTGTAGTTTCAATGAATCTGCCTATGCATCAGCCCATGTACCACACTGTATTTGCACCAAGCTGGCAATCTCGAAGCTTAGTCCAAGTCCAAAGCCAACCGGTTTCAGGCAAAACCACAAAATGGCGCACGGGCAAAAACAGGCATTTCTTGGAAAGCAAAAAAGTCTTCAACGAGCTGCTTGCCAAGAACCACAGTGAACCAAAACAGATCACTGCATTAGGTCAATTCTGGGCATTCTGAGGGGTGCTATTTTAAGACTTGGTGATTGATAAGATAACAAATGAATTTCTGGTTTCAATGATGCTAAACAATGTAAGTGCTACTACAAACTTGCTGACCTACTTCCATAGGCATTGCTAAATTAACAAACCCATTACTTTGGCAGCATAATGCAACAACAGCAGCAATGTTGTCTCTATCCGCTCCGCGCAGAACAAAGGAGGGCTTATTTTTGGGGTATTCACCACATAGGAGCACCATGAGGCATACAAGTATATGCATGTTTTACACCGAACACACTGAGTACGCGTAACTAATTTATTCAGGCTTGAATGGTCTTTGCGTACATGCAGAAAGTGTGCAAGAACCCACTTGTAACCATCTGTCTTTCTTTCGCCTATTGGGGGTGCACTTCAGCTTGGGGCAGATAAGGATGGACAAAGTCAGCTAGATATATTAAAGTGCAATTTGACAACCTGAATTAGAAGCCATTACTATGGTGGCACAATGTTCGTGGACAGGTGGAACATATGCATTACGTGCCACTCCAACCAATAGGGTATTGTGATTTGCCAAACGCATGTGAGCATCATGTCCAAGTATATGCGTATTCTTGCGGCATCCCTGCAGTTATGGCATCTCCTTGGATTGGTCTATAGCAAATGTATTTATTATTTGGTAGAGATATTTTTGAACATTTTGTGAACTATTCTGCTTTTGGACTGACGGCTGGTCATAGTTGAATCTCCATTATAGGCAAAAAAATAAAACGAATAAATAAATAAAAATAAAAATTAAGAAAAGAATTGCTGAGACTTCCACAGGGCGAATTCTATTCTACGCTTGTTGCAATGAAACCCATGAGACATTTAAACTGTCAGGTAGCTTGTGGGATTCTTCAGTGAGGATCAATCTTGTAGATTGTTCCAATTCTCCTAGTAAGACTCTAGAACCCACAAATCATCAAGGGAGGGAGAAACTAAATCTAACAGTCCCTCGCAGGAGTTTCAAGAAAGCTTTCTTTATACATGAATATTCCCAGCACCGGATTTACTATCCCATGAATGGGATCAGAGGAGCTGTCTGGTCCGATAACCCGGGGTTGTGATATGGGTGAACACGAAGGCTGTTCCTATTGATTTCCACTATGAAACAATCTGTGGAAGGGACTGTAACTCAAAACAAGTTTTGGTTGATTTCAGACTCATTTGGTTAGAACAGGCCAAGAATGTAGGGCACGGCGTCACTGCCCGTGGAGCTTAGAACACCTCAGCAAAGGTTGTTAATACTCATTTCCACAAACTGTACGACCTGCAAATGTGGGTCATTTGATGAACTTTTTATTTCAACTTCTGAGAGATTTTCTGGGGCACATTGTAGCAAAGGTTCAGTCTGAAAATTCCCTGTCACGGTCGGTCGGGCCTCCACAATGACCAAGGTTTAGGAAGAGGGGAAAGAAAATAAACACCCATCCCTTTCCGTACTTGCCGCAAAAAGGTGGGTGATGTGAAAAGTTTGTACCATTCCTCGGCTGTCTCTTTCATCCGGCCGAAAACAGACGCTCAACAAAAGGAGAAACAATTCCCACACAATGTTATACTCACAATGCAGTTAATTCTTGTGCCTTGTTCTGTATTTTTTGCAAAGTTTCCTCAAAACCAAACAGCTCAAAATCCTACGACCAAATTTCTTCAGAATGTGAGCATCCATCACTACTGGAACCATCAAAATGCACTTCCTTTCTAAAACTGTAGGAGAAATCGACTGTGAAGGATTGGCTTATGGAAGCCAGTGGCTTCAACAGACCTCTAGCCATAGCCTCAACTTTTGGACACAGTCAACAATCAGGTCCCAGGGTGTTCTAACAATATATTAGAGGCTCACCAATTGCTGAAACAAACCTCTCTCCTTGCTGAAAAACCTGTCTGACCTTGATTTTTTGAACCTAGTGCTGTACATCACTGGGCCCACGAGAGTCAAATACATACATACGCAGAGTTTTCTCACGCTGTACATTAAATCAAACTTTCATTTTCCTGACATGAAGAGAAAAATATTGTTTTGTTTCCGATGGGAACTGGGCAACATCAGGTGACTGGCCATTGTTCAAGGCAGGGTGTCGGGCCATTATCCTGTCCAAAGTACCACACGGGACACAATGCGATTACACGTGATTGGAGGTGTTGCCGGCTTCGAAGCCTTTCATGGGCCAGGGCGGACAATTACAGCCCACAGAAGCTAATCTCCATCGAGTGAGAACTCCTCCAGCTGAAGTTCCCACAGAGCAACCCCCTTTTAAAGAATTGGTTTTTCCCCAAGCATTCTGTTCCCAGACACATCCCACAGTAAGCGGTCTGTAAAAAAAGAAAAACACCTTCTTTTGACACATAAATGTGTGACCTGAACAGGAAAACCATGCAAAGTGAAACTGAATTGATGACGAACTTAAGACACTTCCTTGAGCCCCAGCTAGATAGATTATTATCCTTTCTAAACATAAATTCAATTCCAAATCTTTTGTAAGCCTACAAAGTCCTCTCAATCATCGCATAACTTGCTCTCATCTGGTGATGATCAAGTTGAGAACTTGACGTTAAGTGGCTTTCCATTTCACTAACTTCAGTATCCACAGGAACCCATTATCCACAAAAGGAGCACCTGGCAATCGATTTAATATCAACAATATAAAAGTTGTGTGAAAATGGACAAGCCTAAAAAAAACAAATTTCCCCCAAATTTCCCTCGACGTCAGAAGAAATCTCACATCCGATCGTCACACTCACAATTATATTACTTCTAGATGCAATTACAAATCTCTCATGCGGCAAACAAAAAATTAAAAAGCTTTGAATGGCCCATTCAAATCGGCGATTTGTCCTCTACCCCTTGAAGTGACCTTGACAGAGGAAAAGAGGTTCAACAACCAGCGATCCAATGCACAAGGCCAGTTAAATGGACAGGCGACATCGGGGACTGGTATAAGAGTCTTTTCACACTTGCGGCCCACGCTCTCACTTTCTTGACAGCTAGTTCATTTTGAAGATTTTTCCTTCCACTGAGGATCAGTCACTCAGGCACTTTAAAAAGGCCTCTGGATATTTCGCACAATTATTCACTTGATAGACAAGTTTGTACAGGGCCCAATGGCAATGTCGGTGAATTAGTGATTTTGTCGTTGTCTTTTTGCTGCTGTATAATTGTACCTAAGCTACAGCTCTTGAAAAGGGGATATGAACGGAGATTATTTGAAAGAATTTAACCCACTTTGATCTTCCACTTTTTAATTTTTGTCCCTGTAACCTAGATAGCCAGTACAAAGCATGTACATGTATCACTGAAGTGTATCAGTCTTGCTTAAAACCATCGCCAGTAGCTAGGCCTGACAAGATCAGACCAACCCCCCCAAAAAATGGTTTACAGCTCAACTCCTGTGAAACAAAATTTTGCAGATTTCAAATACTGGCTTGGGAAATTCTGTCATCCAACATGTCTCCCAAACCAGTCACACCTCCCCTGACTGGGAGAGGCAAACTCGTTCACCTGTGAATCAAGTTGCAACAAGTATTTTTGCACTTTCGATGAAAACAACTGGGCAGACAACTCCCTGATGGTGTCAAGTCCAATCTAAAATCCTAATTAATAATAGGGGTGACAAACGGCCCCTGGCTGCCTTCCTTTCAGGATCCTGATGCCTGTGTCATACCGGTATGTTTGCAGTTTTTCTGTTTGTCTCTTCCACAGAAAACCAAATGAATTGGGCCTCTGGTGCAATGTTGTGCGACCGAAGGCAAGCGACTCTAAAACATATGCGCATACTAAATACCCTGACGAGCTGATCTTTTCAGCCCTTTCTATCAAAATAACCGTCCTAAGATTGGCACAGATACTTGCTGAATTAAAAGTGAGATTCAGATTGCCTCCGACCCATTTTTGAATTGCGAAAATTGCCAACGCTACTTTCATTCTTTGTCTCACTCAAAAGATGAAACCTGAAAACCGACAGCATAAAAATAAAACTTTTTTTGGGACCATTATGCCTCTTTGGTTGTGCTTTTTTTTTCTGCAGCAATGTTACGCTGAAGGCCAACGTATGCCATAAAGTGCAAGCCCAATCCAAAAACCACTTTAATTATAGGCTGACAGGGAGCCACACACAGGGAACTATTCTGACCATTTTAATTGGAAACCAAGCTATCTAGGCCTTGGCAAGGTTTTTTTTCCACAATAACCTCCGGCCAGCTTGCATGCCAAATAAAATCTACACTGAACATTCACAAGATTTCTGAAACTCACTAAGTTTTCAGAATGGATAATCATGACCTGTCAATCAAAAATATTTTCCATTTATATCCAGCACAACATTTACAAAAGTTCAATTGAACAGGGACAAATCAAAGTCTATCAAGGTACTTTAAAAAGTCAATTTGCAAGCAAGCAATGCAAGCCTAAATTTTGGCATTTAAAAATATTCCTGTGATACTTTTGTGCCTCCATTAAAACAATACTCCAGTTTTAAGCCTGCAGAACAACAAAGTGCGCTAACAGTGAAAGTGAAACGGTATAAAACTGCCGTTGTACTTTATGAACAGATAATAAAACTGTGTCTACATTCAGACAGATTTTTTCCCCTGATTGTCTTATCGTTGTCTGGGGTGATACATGAACACTGTATTCCTGAAGCCACTCATAAAAATCTGAACAAACTACAATTTATTCCCGCCCAAAGTTTCACCCTCATAACCTTCCCGAAACAGATAAATCACCCATCGAGAGCCAGAGTCACAATGTTCTCCCGAAAAATCCAGCCTGTCCGGGTCAGTGGCAAGTTAAGCCCGCCCCTATATCACTCGCCTAAGCAGAACAAAGATGCTTTTGTTTATGCAAGTAATGAGGCTGGCATTGCTGGCCCATTCCAGGTAACCGGTTGCCGGCTTGATGACGTCAGTTAGCGGTGACCATGGCAACAGCTTGTTTGAAGTATGTAGCTTTGGTGATATTTATGGTCCGCGCTCGAAAGGGAGCACTGTTGTGTACACAGTGTCTATGTACATGTACAGTTAGGTGTTCGAGAACTTTGAAATCTTACCGTACAAGCTCAAATGCGCATGGGCTGATAAATCATATAGCTAGAAAGCTGTCAATGAAAGGGGACTTGGGGTCAGTCAGCAGATGTTTCAGATTTTTTTTTCCCTCTCATTTCTGACAACAGCTAAATATATCTTGCGAGAATCAAAGAGTTATTTATAAATGCTTTCCTGAGGACAGCCAGTCCCGCCTGTGCTTGGACATGGGTGGGCTGGACATATAGAGAAATTTGCTAACCAACCGAAAACCAATACGTACATATACTGCAAAAAATGCACTGCCCATTACTGATTCCAGGCTATTAAATAATTTCTTCTTCTCAGAATCTCCACAGTTTGACTCAGCTGGCTGGCACCTGCTGAATACTTTGAGTGTTTCAAACTGGAAAACAAACCTCTTCAAGAGTCTAGTAATAGAACAGAGGGAAGTGGTACACTTTGGCCAAGTCATTTTTGAGACATTGGAGAAACTGCAAGATTTTTGCAATGGTTCCATAATGATTGTCACAGCACATCTGTTGCACGAAGCTATGAGTTGAAACAGGTTACCAGCTAAAATGACAGGCATTAGAATCCACTCTGAGTGGGAGCAAGAGAGGGCAAGTTTTCACATGGAAACGTTGGTACTTTGATGAGAACTCACCCATTGAGCGTGCAGGTTTATGAGTGTTTGGCACAAGGCGTGCGCTGAGTACGGACAACCAATATATGTGGGAATGTATGGTCTCTGCGTGTGCGCCGGGCACATACATGTACATGACCTCAGTAGGAAAACTTCCCCCCGGCTTGTCTCTCTTTTGCCGGTGAGGGTGCGCCTCAACTCAGGGTGGATAACGTTCCAAGCCAAATTTGGCTCAGTACACAAATCACTTGATGATATTTTTCTACTCAACAATCCTTTCAATAGGCCAAAGATGGGCGGACACTGCACAACTCCATCAGGGATACGCACATCCGGTGTGAACAAGAGCAGACCCCGGGGGAGGGAGAAGGAAAATGCCACTGGGGTTCTTACCTGGGGAGGTCGTGGGTGGGCGGGGCTTGAGAGGGATGGAGCTGAGTCCCTGAGGTATCCTCCTCGGGAGTAGAGTTGGAGGGAAGGTCCGCCTCGTGGGACTGACGGCGCTCATTGGAGGATGTGGGTACATACCTACCCTGCTAAAGAGAAGGGAAAAAAAAGCCAAGAATCGTTTCATTTCCGACTGATACCTTTCAGTAAAGACATGAAAAGCATGGAAATTTTGGAACCTCCTCCTACAGCTGTTGATCAAACTTTGTTGAACTTGTTGTATGTAATGTTAATACTCTAAAACAGGGCCAGTTTTGAGGGGAAAACAAACATAAAACTTAACCCCACTTACAGCTAATAATGCGCATTTCAATTTACTTTTGAGTTGGAAAAAGGTGCAACGGGTTGCAACAAATTCTTATCTACGAAATCTCACAATTCCCGTACATTGTCTGTGTCTACTTGTTCCCCCCCCAGCAGAATCACTGGCTCCAATTTCGGAAGGAAAGACCTGGTGTTTCTGATTGGGTGCATACCTGTCTCGGTTGTCCTCCAGGGCCCCTATGGAGTGAGAGTTGGCATTGTGGGGGCTGCCCTGCATGCTGTGCACCGGCGACGGGTGGTTGCTGTAGCTGGAGGCTCCCGTGGCAGTGCCGCTGCGACTGGAGTGGGCACTGGAGAACATGTCTGAGGGAGACACCAGGAGGACACATGACGGACGGAGCATGGGTATTGTGCACCATTACATCATGCAGATATGCAAACTAGATGAGGATATCTGGGGAAACCCATAGTTTCCCTCTCTTGCTTTTTTCAAGAAACACGTATTTTCTGAACATAATTTTGCCTTGGAGTTCAGCATTAATAACTGAAATTTTGACATTTTTTTAACCATTACTTTACTACAGTAAAAGGCTTTTAAGACAACCTGAGAAGTCAACACTGGTCTTAAAAGGTACCCATCAAAATATCTAAATGCACAAGTCAAGAACTTCCATAGCAAGATAGAAAAATTATCAAATTTGACCTCACGATCAATCTGAAAAGCAAAATAATAAATAAGAAACCATGTACATTTAGCAATATACTGCAGAATTCTCCAAGCCACTATGCATTATTTACTTGTCAAAGAAAAGTTTCAAAAGCCATAATTGGTTTACGCCAATGTTTGTTTGACCTATTGTTCATCAGAATGTTCACAGAGAGTTACTAGGTTTGGAAGTGCATCAAGGTAGGCCATTTTACTGAACTAGGTACACAAACACTGATTGCCTAACTTATTAGTTGATGAACTGGATACTTACTTGGGTACATGTCGGACGAGGTGCCGGCCATGGATGAGTGGGGCGATCTCCCAAGCCCACTGTCGCTCAACTCCATGGGGCTATCGGCAAGAGACATGGGGTGGAGGGGCTGAATGGTCAGGCAGTCGGTCAGAATGTCCTGGGGATGGCCAAACTCATCTCGCGTCCGCAGCTGACCACAAACAATGTATGTAACACAATAAGTCTACGCCCTCGGTTTTAATCACAAAGTCCTATGCACTGTTTTACGCGTATGTGTACATGACACGAAGCACGGCTGGGTGGCCAGTCATGCTAGCAGAGTTTCCGTGTGAGTTATTATGCTTGCTGTAACTTGAGCATTCTGAAACCTGCTCTTCAACTAGTCGGGTCCCCTTAAAATATATGTATAATCAACTCCTATACAATAATATGAGTTTTTTTTTACAACTTTCATTGCAAATTGGAAATGGGCTCATTGTCAGGAGTGATAGATTTTACCTTTTTTCTTGCTTGTTGGTCTTTGGCAGTGTGTGCCTTGACGTGCTTCCTCAGGGAGCTTGGGTCTGTGTACCTCTTGGTGCAACCGGGTAACTGGCAAGCATAGGGTTTCTGGAACAGGACCAGTGAGATAAGAAACGAGGTGAGTGAACTCGAGCCATGCCAGAATTCGTGGATGTAGGAGCCTTGCCTGTCAGCCGCATAATTAAACCCTGTCACTGTAATTTCATCAAACCTTTGAAAAAATTTCCTGGACTTCAAAACGTTACAGAAGAAACCAACTGGGGAAAGACTGACAACCGAAGCTGGATTCATGCCTGCAACATCACGTGCTGTATCAGTTGCTCTACACAACTGAGCTATCCATCCCCGTTTCGCCTGCATTTTTCTCACCGTCAGTGCTTCTCATCATGAGATCACTCAAAAAGTGCAACCCCCTCAAAAGCCTACCCATTCCAGTAATAAACCAACAATTCTGTAGTTGGAAGCGACATTTTCACCTACTCCTTGAGAGAAGCCCCACTCTCGCGTTAGAAAGCAGCCCTGGTTGGATTCCTGGCTCGGTCCACATGTAGACTGGATTTTCATTCTCTACCTGACTCTAAGGGGCATCACCCAGAATATTCCTCTGGGGTTTTCCTCCCACCTCTAAAACTGTAACTTCTTCTCACTATCCCGTCTCTACAGGTTTCTTCAGGCATCCAGGCTAAGGTGCCAAAGTCACTTCTGACAAATCGTGAATTCCATTACCACAAATACTTCATAATAATCAATGCTCTGCCCTCTGATAGCCTTCATCCGTTCATACCGCACAGCCCAGCAAATGACATGCTTTGAAGGAATTCTTCCAGCGTGTACTCATATATATAACATGGACTGAAAAAAGCTAGAAATGATCCTTCCCCCCACGATGTGGTAACTTTTTTAACCTGTTGACCCATCCTGCTGGCATCAGGTGATCCCGGTCTAGGACACTGTTCTCCGACCCCAATCGTTACAGACCCCTACCGGGATACATGCACTTGGCAGAATTTTAACGTCAGCTATAAAAAAAAACCCGCACTGTGTCAGGAGTTTTCAACGGACGACAGACTGAACTCTGCGAGACAGTGAAGGATGACTGGGCATCCTTTTGACAGTTCAGCCCAAGCTTTCACTCCTAAGCTACGGGTGTGCAACTGCTCCAAATCTTAGGTCGAGATGAAGGGTTGACCCTACCTGCATTTGGGAGGGGGGGTGGACTGTCATTTCCCCAACTATCCAATAAATTCTGTTCCCGCTTTAATCATTTCTGGGAAAAACAGAAAACCTTAACTTTGGAGACATTCCTGTGTCACATCAGAATACGCAAGAACATAGGTAAGAAAGTTGTGAGGAGCACAAGAAAGTTGGATGGATGCCAAGGAAGTTGGTAGAACTCCACTCATTCCCTAAACCTTCCCGCACATTTAAATGCTGAATGCTTTAATACTCAGTGTACTTCACAGATGCCCTATAAGCAAGCAAGACTTGAATTTACAACTGGGGGAGGGGGCTAACAGACAGGGTGGGGGGGGCAGAGCACACCCCCACCCCTTAGGAATACATGTACCAACTCTGCCCCCCCTTCCCTTTCTCCATTCCACATGTCCCAGATGCACAGTCTCCTGAATCCTTGAAGCCATCACTCCAACCTGCTGTCAGATTCCTGGGGAAATCAAGACCAGACACTGACTAATGGCTGAAACAGAGACTCTAGGAATGCGAGGGGTCAAGAACAAAAGGTCGGCCAGCCTTCTCTTTTCAGAGCTCAACAGGATGGGTTGTGGAGGGGAGATCTGTAAAAAAAAATCCCCTTACCAGCCATCTGTCCCATTCAACATGTCTTGGGCACCATCATTAATGCTGCTCCAAAATTATGTTACTCCTGATATGTCACTTCCTAGAATTGCCATTGTAGCACTTTGTAACAAGTGTGAATGAAACAATTTGTTCTGAGAAACTTTGAAACTTCAACGGATATGAAAATAAATGTATCTTCCATCTTATTTGTATCCAGCTCTACATGCCATTCAGATAAAAAACATTAAAAAGAAACTGAATAAGTAACAACAAAGTTATTTGTATTTTTAGCAAGAGCTTGCAACACAAATCGTCTACCATGTTTGAATTACATTCAGTTTGACTTTCAACTTCAAATAGTTTTTCTAACACCTGCCACTGAAAGTCCTTCTGCTTATGTTAATGCTTTTCTGTTAGCTACTTGTTTAAAGGGAACTTGCACAATATTTATCATGCAAGAAAAACAACTGGTACGTAGGTTAAAAAAACCGGGGGAACTGGTCTGAAACAACATGACAACACTGTCAAGAGGAGGATTTTCCAATCACATCCTATTGAGTTCGAAGATGAACTGAGAAACAGCTTTTAAAATCCTCTTTCCCCCTTGCCAAAAAAAAAACAGATCACTTGTGTATTTCAGCATTACTTGACAAATGGACGGCATTATCAGCCAAGATATGTCCAAATGGATCTAAGGTCATTCATCTAACAACAGGGGATGAGGGAGAGGGGGGGACATTAGTGCCAAGCACACCCATGAACCCACTACCACTCCCTGGAGAGACAAACAATGCCACCCTCCCCCCCTTTCCACTTCAACTTAGCAATCACTGTATTGACAACTTGCCAGATGGTATCGAGATCACAGATTGGCTGAGGGGGAATACGGGAACAACTCCCGAAGAAATTTTATGTTGTTTTGACTACGCACTTGAGGACACTGATCACATTTTTTTCCCCTCGACCTTTGACATTCCTGTTTGATTGCTCCACAATGCCAGTCATTAATTTCTTTTTTTTTTCTAGATTGTTCAGCAAAGTGCTGTTAAAATGCATGATCGATCAGACGTGAATGAATTGAACTTTTAAAGCAAAGTGTACCCTAATGTGGACATTTAAATTTAAATGTACTGTTTAAGTTGAATATTACAAACATCTTATGCACAGTCTGAGGTGCAGTTCAACACCTTGTTTTTGGTTTCTAGTTTCTTTTTTGGTGGAATTGTACTGAATGATAATTTTTTTATGGGGGCTGCAAGGATGAATTTCAATCGTAAATAATCATTAAATCAATAAGCTGGGAAGTCAACTTTGTCAGATCCTCCACAATCCACCTAGAAATCTGGGAGGATTTGAACTTAGCACGGGTGCCTGAGGTTCTTTGAAATGTGCACTTCACATACAAAGGCCCTGGTTCCCTACAAACAGTGGGGCCATGATGTAGATTTACCAAGACCACGCTGTAAACCTCTGAACAAGACAGCTCACCACTACTCAGAGATTGACAGTGGGCATGTGAAAATGGTTGTTTGGTTCCCAGTCTCCTTTTGTACTGCACCATACCAGCATATGGTACACACAGACAGTGTAAATGTGCCCAAACAAAGTTTGAAGTTTTAACACACACATAGGCCTATGTCTATGTTTTGTTCAATCACCACTTAAAAAGGTGGCAGATTTGCCTGAATTTGTCAGATTTTGTCATATTTTCATCAAGTCCTGCTGATGAGGTCAAAGGTGATTTGCACAGTGCAAATCATGGTTAAAACAAGGTCCTAGTGGGCATCGGCAATAGATTGACACGAAGGAATGTCGCGGAATGTTTCCGCATGGTATCAGGAGAAAAGGCCAATGGAAACACGGCTATAGTTGGCAAAGCTTTCTTACAATACTCTCACTAGTTTTGACTACTGTCGTTACATATTCAATGTGACAATTTTTTTAAAATCATGTCAACACTTATTGCTTGTTCACTCCATTTCAGAATCCGTGGATTATCACCCAACACAGCGACAGTTTTATCCTCTTCCTTTTCCAACTCATCCTATAAAATTGAAATCACAAGAACCTTACACCCATATCCCTGCCAACAAATCCAAAATAAATTGGGCAAGATCTCACATTTGTTTCCCCTCCTGCCAAAGCCCAAGCTTCAAACTCCCAAATCTCCTCCCCTGGGAAATCTGGCCTGCCATCAAAGAAAATACACCCAGGGGAACACTAATCAACAACCACTGGAAATGAGAGAATACCGTTTGCATTTCAAGTCCCTCCTCCATCCCTCGCCTATTTATATATAGTCTCGCCAATATAAATCATGTTGGAAATACCACAAATCAGTTCATATATATATATATATAACCCTGAGGCAGAGGTAAGCACCACCTTTCTGTGCCAGGGATATTTTTACAACAATTAAAATCAGGGAGAAAAAAAAATCCAGCCTTTAGTATACTTGGAATAGTCTGCCACAATGGATGTATTTTGTTGCAATGGGTTAAAAGGTCGGTAGATAGTCAGTGGTCAAAATGCTTGAACTTTTGTGAGAGTGATCATGATGTTTATGCTATTTGAAATACATGCCATCAGTTCTTGGCTCATCCCCCTTAAAAAAAACACCACAATGGCCCCAACTCTTTGCCAGGGAAGGAGACTCAGATGTCAGTGTCTGGTCTTCCAAAATAATTTATAGCCATGTGTGTGAATTCCACTGAACATTTCTTTCCTCTTCACAACGTGTTCCCCACTGTGTATAAATCTTAATTTGAAAACTATGACTATTATAAATTTTTGGTTTAAGACACAAGGCTAAATATGCAAAGAAACAAATTGCAATGGGAATATCATTATTTTTTTATTCCACGTTCAAAAAACACATCAGAAACACAAACTGAGAGTATTTAGAAAAAAACATCTGCCTTGCTCCACTTTCCTTGCTCTGCATTCTTTACAGAGAGCCAGAGTCAATTGAGTCAGTGATTTACTGCTGGTTAGGAGTCTCAGTAAAACCTGAACCAACCACAGCACTGACTTTGAAGTAGCTGTATTCACTGGTACATTATTTCCCTAAGTACGGCAGCGTACCATTTACTGTCACAAACGTCTAACACACCTGTCAGCCTAAAAAAAAAAGAGTGTTTTTCACTGACTCAAGCAAAAAATGCGTACACAACAATTATAAAGTATTGCAGGAACAATCAGACATAAACATTTTATCTCAATCGAATTCAGCAATTAGCCAATGCTGTGTTCCCAGTAATTTACACTAGTCTTCCACTGAAACAAAAGCCTGTGATGCACTCGCTACATTACATTACTTCGGCACAGGTGTTGATAAGTTATGCGTTCACCTGAACCGACCAGAGCACTGGCTTAGCGGCATCTGCTGCAGTGGCATCTGCTGCAGGCAGGCTAAGTTCCTTTCATAAGTAAACCCTGCTCCAGTGCAAGTGAGAAATTCTCATCGGTAGTATGTGCCTGCGCAGAAAAGTCCACAGCACAGCACAAATAAATTTCTGCCTCTATCATGTTGTCTGGTTCCTCAAAATCTGCCATCAATCCTCATCATCAAATCAATCCTTTCTCTCCAAGTGCTGCTGTTGGTTCAGGACTTTTTTAGGGACTCCCGGCTTCTTGGCCGACTTGTGAGCTACAGTACCAAGGGTATTTTGAGGAATCCTTGGTTTCATCAAGGAAATCAAAATGCAAATAAGATTTCTACTCTTGTTCCCAACCCTCCGAGTCTCCTCACAACTCACCGTATCCAGATGGGTTCTCTGGTGTTTAGCTCTGTCCGATGAGTTACTGAAGGCCTTGGTGCAACCTGGATGGGTGCAGAGGTAGGGCTTCTCACCGGTGTGGGATCGCAGGTGGATCTTGAGGTTCTCCAGTCGGGAGAAGGCTTTGTTGCATCCTTCAAACTGTGGAGAGCAAACAAAATGAGAGGAGGTCAAATGAGTGCTGAATCAGTAGGACAGAGAGGGACGGCAAAAGCAATCAGCTGACCAAACACCTACAACCGCATGGCAATTCACTGCCTTCACAACAGAATGAATGCGGTAAGAAGAACATCAGCATCTGATAGGCAAACTCCTGTTGCAATTACGAGTCAAGCTACACATATGCCTCCCACTCAAAGCCTACAAGGTCACTCAAAGGGAACAAAGTCTGCAAACCAGAGAATGATTCGGGCAATTCAACAAGCTTTGTGAGATTTATATCTTGGGTAATTTCAAGAAGTGAGATCCAGATGCAGCATCACAAACCCAGGTTAAAGGAGCCAGCCTGAAGAGTGAATTTTCCCAAATATGTCCATCTGGCCAAAAGTGAGATCACCAGCCACAAATCTGATTGATAGCTTTGGCAGCATCTGCCCACAAAATTTGGTTCACTTGTCCCTGGTAAATGTACAGAGGTCTGGTATCTCCAGCTTTTGCATGTGGAACTCATTAACACCACTGTGTCAAAGGTCGACTAGACAATGGAAGATACAAGATGACCTTAGTTGACCCCCTGCATGTTGCACCATGGAGTCTTTGTAGTTGGGGTCGGGTGGGATCATGTTTCCCCAGATGCCTAAGAGAGGTAATGTAACGGACAGACAAGACAGCCTGGTCGACAAAACTTGGAATTCAGGGAGATGTTTAGTGCAACAAGGGCAGGAGAGTTGACGCGCAGCCCTGTATTTGGGGAGCCAGTTTGGAAGCTAGCCACAACTTTTCCAAACCGCAGACGTAATAAATCCCTTTTTCCATGGGTGAGTGAGCGAGGGTGGGTTTATGTGCACTCCTCTTCCACCTCCCAGTTTAAAGGAGAAGACAGCTCAAATCAGAGTGGTTTGGTAAACTGTTATTAGGGCAAAGGTGAGGAGAGTCATGGGGATGGGGTATACATCCCCACCCCCTTCCTTTTTAAGGGGGGTTGGATGGCCACAGGTTTGCCTGCCCATTTATAGAGAAAAAGAGGAGACAGCGTGAGAGGAAAGGTTTTGGAAGGTCTGGCAGTTTTCTAATAGACTTCCCATACCTCTGTCATAGGAGTATACCATAGCCCAATTTTTCTACCTTTCAAAAGGTTTTGAAAGGTGTAGTAGTGCACTAACAACAAATTCTGGAGTGTTTTGAAAGGTCTTCATTTTTTTTGTGGTCATTCACCCAGCAAGCAAATTTTGAAAGGTTTTGAAAGGTCAGACAATAGGAGCGCCAATACAGAAACTTTTGTACATTGCTTGTGAATGCTTCAAAAGAATTCTGCATTCTTCGACCTTCCTGTTCCATTCATACAGACTCACATCTACACCTTTTGTGCACGGGGTCAATAAGGTCAAGGTGGGTGGAACCAGATCACAAAAGGGAAAGGGACTGGTGAAAGTAGGTTGGTGGACTTTCTGAGCACAGACATGGGACTGTTGTTGCCCAGTGTGGGGATCTGTGATGGGGTTGTGATATTCAATGCTGACACACAAAGGCAAACAGGTGAGGTTAGTGTTCAGTTTGTGGCCAATATACACACTACTCAAAAAAGTTAAGGACCACTTTTTTTTCTTAAACTTTATTTTCTTATCCAAGCAATGAGTGGAGTCTAGTTCTTTCATTTGCTGGTTTGTCTAGATCGTGTTCTCATTGGAATAAAATATAAAAAAAAATTCAAAAACATTATGCAACAAGTGAAACCCATCACATATGAAATAGATTAGAGTGTGTTTGAGGTCATTCAGGACAGTCGTATTGGGGTATTTTCTGCAGAAAAATATCTCATATGAAAAAGTATACACACAATAAAAAGAGGTCCTTAACTTTTTTTGAGTAGTGTACAAGTACTATGTAAACTGTTCACATTTTCAGAGCTGCCATAAAGCGTGCTGCAGCTGCAGTGGCATTGCTACATGCCTCCAGGTTTCATTCCCGTCTAACCTGAAACCATCTTTTACCGAACGATCTCATCATTATCTAACAACCAATTTTTGTCTTAATTTTGGGAGAGCTCAAGATTACCGGTCAGTAAATGTTCATTATTCTAAATCATATTAGTCTAAAATTACTGTGAAATTGTAGCTGTTCAAAGTGGGGATTAGTGAAGCCAGCCGCACAAGAAATGAACAGGAGCTTGATCCAGCGTTATACTGATTCATGACCATTCAGTAACACCTCCAGTCAAACTTTATTGTCCGAGTAATTACAAGAGCCAAGTCAACCTGCATGGAGCGTGAACTGTGGAGCCAGTACCTGATGTTATCCCACAGGTCTCCTGACAGTACTGCTGCACTTCAATTGTGAGGTGGGATGGCAAACGCGGGTCCCTGCGGTTTTCTGATAACCTCTCCACAATCATACAGGGACACTCCTCCTGGTTTGTGAGTTTATATTTAGTCGATTTTTACTGTGCTTGGTTAGTTGTATTTCAATCCTGACCCGATGAGTCGTTGCCAGTTAGTGGTTAGTGTGGTCAGTTATACTTCATGGCTTCTGGCCAATTTGTCAGATCATGTTCCAAGGTCTTTTTTTGGTGTTTAAGTAAATCGAGTTTACGTTTATGGAAGATCTTTTTGCAAAGCTGCTTGATGGAGATCAAATTTGGGGGGTTATCCGACACCTGATATTGCCGAAGGTCAGAAGGTGCCGTTTGAGCGACTGTGATGGCTACTGGTACTGATGTCTACAGCACTTGATTTACAGTTTGGATCTAAATGTTACCATTTCCAATTTACCGCAGTCCTTGAAACTGAAATATGGGCCATTACTCATTTGTCTTGCATCAGCAACTCACACCGTCTGACAAGTTGAAATATGTACGGATGGCCTGCATAAAAACTCCAAAAAAAAAACACAGCCAAGAAGAAAATCCTGGCCGCCAAAAAAGTGTGAGAAAAGCGGGCGCTGTTTGTAAACAGGACTATTTTCTGCTGACTTTGTGTTTCGCCTGTCAGTCGGAGACAATTTATGGCGGCTGGTGTAAAGGCTAAATGGCCACTAGCCCAGCTTTTGTTTTGTTTTTCTGCACAGCATTTCTGGGTATAAACAGCGGGTGTGAAGAGAGAGTCCCCAGAGGCAGCTGCGAGCTCAGGTCAATCAACCTGTGGGTCAGAAGTCAAGAATGACACCTGGCCCCAGAGATGGATGTACCTTTTTTTTTTCGGCGAAAAAATAACAATAGGACTCTCTGTTTCAATGTGATGTATAAATAGATTTACCTAGATTTACGCAAAGTATACAATCACGAGGGTCACTCATTGAGCAATAATGAGATATGAGAGACTGCAAATGTATAAGCACGTATTAAGCCTACAGAGAGAGTTTATTTCCCAAATGAGAAATGCACTATTTTGGTTCTTCTCTGAATTTCATCTTGTCATGGTTGCCTCCTGCCAGTTTCTACGGGTTTTACTTAACTCAGTGAGTCAGAACAGTGAGAAATAACATTCAGGGAGACCTGGTACACTCCTTTTGTTTTTAATTATTCAATCATTGTTACATTCTTTAATGGCATATGTACATGTAGCTCATTTTGGAGTGAAACCTATCACACACATCGTCGACAACCATACCCAAGTACCTGTAGATCTCACTTAAAACGTAAATGCACCAAAGACCTGAAGCAATAAGGAAATCTTGGATGTTCATTCCAAATGAAAAGAGGGAAAGGGAATTAAACATCCTGACATCCCCACCCCATAGAAATATTTGCCCTTAGGTTGTAGATCAGCGGGAAGCTCTTGTACTTGCTTGTACTGAGTAATAAACTCTGGCAAACTTCTATTTCTGCAACTTGATACCATCTAGTGGCAGGAAATCACTGCGATGGGCATCTAAAATGTAGGTAGAGGTATTAAAAGCCTCAGGAATATGCTAAAACCGAAATCAGCATTTCCACCGAGTGAGTTGGGGTGACTAGAGAGAGCTTCCCGTGGACTGATCAGGCATCCAGATTCAGACGCTGGTACCGCCTTGGCAACACACCTGTGCACAGGTGATAAGCGCCCACTGACTACCTCTTTGATCAACAGGGTATCATGACTTGCCAAAATCTAGGCATGCCTGCCGGTTAAGTTTGGCATCTCCTTGGACCATGTCAGTAACATTTCACCAAAAAACGGGCAGCACAGGCTGGGGCCCAACCAAGTCTATAGAATAATCATCAATCAGTCTTTCTATGAGAGAGATAAGTGGAAGGCCCAGACCAGTGACTCAACTTTAACTGCATGCACTGTGGTTAACCACGGGTATGCCATGAGAGTGATCCCTGTCAGTGGTGAACAGCCCAGCCATTCAATTCACTGCGCCAAGGACCACAACCTGTATCCAGTCTTGGTTGATGGGTTGGAAAGGGTGAAGTTGGTAGGAAATTCCAAGATGTTATCTTGGCAAAGACTTGATCCGTTTTCAGGCTTAGGTTTCTTTGAATGGCATGGCTGCACACAATAACGGAGTATCAAGTCTTGAGCGGGAAGGCAAAAAGCTCTGTCAGACAAAAATTGCGTTGATTTTTGAAAAATACATCTTGAAAAAATTGCGTTGACTTGCGAGAATAGATCATTGTGAAACGAAGCATCAGCTTTGGATAAAGCGGCAATTCTCTTTGCACAATCAAAATGATGCACCTACATCCCAATACAAACTGCACAAAAAACAAACAGCCAAAACTTAAGGGGGCTACATCTCCCAAGACATACATGTATATATGATCTAGCTCACAGTTTCTGACTTTCTGACAGTGTAACATGTTCAACAGCTTGTTCCACGTACACCCTGGCCAGCTTACTCCCCAGTGACCTCTACATGACCTTCTGGCCATTGTGTGGGTGGACAGGTGGGTGACAAGGGGGGAGGGAGGGAGAGAGAGCGCAGACTAAGGGTTGCCTGGCAACTGTCAAACCCAGAGGGCAAATTGGAGATAACTTCTGCCAGATACCAAGGGAAAGATCTACCTCAAAAACAGACTTGTTTATGGGAACTCCTGGGGAAAACAGAGCTTGGTTGGAGATACACGCACACACTTACTCTCAGCACAAGGGCTAGGAGGGGAGCTTTGACATCTCGGGTAATCAAAGAAGTTGGCAAAGAATTTCAACGAGACTCTGTCAGGATTTCAAACATGTCATCTTGGTGAGCTTGGTGCCCCTTCACAACCTCAGATGTACATACATTTACTGTACATGTGCTGGACAGATTAGGTGTTATCAGAATGTATCAGAGCAGCTGTACAAAAGCACATGTGTTTCTTCCCACATTTACCCACCCTAACAGCCCAGAACATCTTATCTGGGTTTACAAGACTTTGGGGGAGGGTTCTGGCTTCAGGTCCAAGGATGTACCACAGGTGCATGTGGTATGAGGTTTTTGTACTTTGGAAATACATGTAGGGCTGTGCATGTACATGTACATTGTACATGTATGCAGCTTGAGTGCCAATTACATGGCTGTGGCTGGCTGTTACATGCAAGTCTATGGGATATGGCTAAAGCTCCTGGCTTGTGGCTTCCAATTTCCATAGCCACCCATATTGCACATATCCAGTGTTTTTTTTTAAAGCCATGCAATTCCGAGGCAGCAACAGCTTTCAAATTCATGATACAGCTAAGGGTAGTGATCATTCACAGAAGCCACAAATTGGTGAGCTCATCTCGTCAGCAACAAGGACAAATAAACTCTACGACCCCGGGTGATGAGCAGAAAAACAAGAAGCCGAATTGTGGCAAAACCACCGGTACAAACAAAACAAGTCGGTGCCACTATGCATTAGAAGTGACATGCAGCATTAGCCAACCCTGAAACCAAAACAACCATGCAGCAACAAGACAACTGTAACCCACATTGGGAGGGAAAAAACACCCCCCCCCAAAAAAAAACAAATCCAAAATCCAATATCATTACTTGGGAGTCCACACTCCCCCAGATCCAGTGACTGGATCTGTCCATCAAACCAAGTGAGCTGCTAACATTTCTTCCGCGCTTTCTTCTGCTATTTGCTTTTTTCTCTCTCTCTTTACGACCAGCTCTAGTTATGCGGGAATGATCAGTATGTACACCTGACAACTGTTGCCATGGGGGTACATTTTTAATGGCAGTGTAGTGAATACCTGCAGGTCCCAGGTGGGCAGACTGCATACCAGGGAAGGCTGGTAGGCAGTAGTAGTGATGCTCTCATCACCGGGCGGGAAACCAGCTACCAATAGTGCTGATGTGTATGTCAGACAAATTTTATCAAGCCGTAAATTGGGCCGGGTGGGACATACTGCTAGGAAATTGATTGTCCATGGTGGAATTTTGAAAGTTAAAAGAAAAAACATCAAAAATAAAAATCACGGCAGATATTGGCGATGGAATTTGGCTTTGCTGTCAAATACGAGGTTGACATTTCTGTGTGCACTATCTATATTGGTAGCCATGAAATCGGTGGATCTCAAGGCAGTCAGAATTTACGCCCGTTGACAATAAGTTCTGACTTTTAACCCTCAAAAAAGGCTGGAGATTTTATTCGGCCCCTTCTGCCAATATAAAGGAAGCTAAATGGTAATCCCATTAAATCTCCAATTTCAATTCTAACACAAAATTGGGGGGGGTGGGCAGGATGAACTGAGCGAGCATTACCACCACTCGTAACTTTTCTCCAAACCAGCTTGTACCCAATATATAGTGTACATGTACATGTAAATGTCCATAGATTATTTCTATTCATGTCATATTTTTATCCATCTAAAGTAGCCATTACTCGATTGAGCAGTGTTTCAACTTTCTTTCTCAAGCCAACCCATTAAGCACCGTCGATATATCAATATTATCGATATGGGTTTGATATCGATATTGCCGACATTAGTTATTTGGTAATATTGTTATATCGAGAATATCAGATTTTGGAGAAATATCGAAAATATCAAAAATTAACATGATTAAAATTCGATATATTGATAATATCGATATAACAAAAACAATATATTGGTATTGGCCAAAATACGATAGCTACAGTGCCCATTTTTATATGCTACACTACTCTACTGATGTGTATTTCTGTTGGTGTAGGACATTATGTACTTTTTGCATATCTGGCTGACCCTAAATATGTGGATTTCTTTAGGTTTTTCCGCCGACCCCCTTAAAAATATCATAGTCAGGGTGCTACCACTATGCACACGATCCCTCCCCAGAAAATGAAACCAAAAACTTACAATGAGATGCTTGAAATCATGACCTGCTTATAACAATGAAAACTTCTCCCTTCTGTGACCAGTGACCATTTAACAGATCATAGAGTATCCAAAATACCAGCCCACATGTAATTTACATGCCAATAATCCAAGCTGTAAACCTGGTCAATCACCAGCCAACTACCATAAGTCAAACCACAGAGAGTCTAGTCACAAGTATGGTCAAAAGACAAATACTGCGAACAGGACGAGAGATGACCAATGACAAAGGAATGTCTTTGCCACTGGAGTGGCTTACGGGCCTGACACGAGATGGCAATAATGGTAGGCAATGATGGTAGGGCTCGTACGGCTGAGCTTATGCTTGACTTGATCAAAATGGTACATGTTGAACATGCCTTCTGTGTTGATTTACATACATGTACATAGTAAACGTAATACTGGTACGTTTGGTCTTGCCAACAACCAATCACACAAATTGTTACAATGAGTAATATTCAACCAGTGCCCTTGCAGGTTCATGATTTTTATAGAAATTCCCTCAACTGACAAAGGGCCTTGAGTGACACCCCTGCAGCAGTGCCCCTGAAGTCAGTAAAAAATCACTGACAAAATAAGCACTACACGTAAATGCACAATAAATACACCTTGCAGGGCAATATCACCGACTGGGGATTCTTGTTGATTTCATACAACACAGAGGAATGGATATTCACACAAAATACATTTAGTGCAAAACATCTCCATGTAGTTCATTAAACTTTGCTGACACTATTTTTAACAACACAAGCTTGCCACCTGCTCAAGCTCACTAACAAGTTGCTCTTCTGGCTGATGTTTACGACCTTAAACTCATCAGGACGGCTCCAGTATTTGTTTAAAAACCCTATCAGCTTCCCTGTGACAAGCATAACGGGGCGGCTGCTAAACGCCTGCGATTCTGATGGTCCACAACACAACATTTCACCTCCGACGAAATTTATCTTAACCGAGGGCCCGGGTGGGTGTCAGACAGGTCTGGCCCCCAGACCATTAATCAGTTGGCTGGTGTTTTGCGCAAATTGCTTGGCAGTTCTGTGCTAAGTTGAGTGCACCAGCAGCGACTCCAGCTTTATTTGCAGCTTCTTTTTTTGGGGGGGGTCTTGAACAACAACAGACAAGGGACGATCTTCCGTTGGAGAACTCAGTAAGGATATTGGACTCGAACACCTTTTTTTTGGCTTTTGACAGCATTGTACATGTACACAGGCGAGAGGTACACATTAGTCCAAGAGGAAGAATTCCTAAGATATTTGCACGTTTACAAAATCTTTTTCAACATGTTTTTCTTATGGTTCCAATGGAGGCAAACAAAGAAATACAAAACAAATGTTTTCTTCTGAAACTTGATTTGTTAGAATTTAAAACTGAGAGGGAAATCTGACACTTAAAGCATTACACAACAGAGCATTCTCAGGAACATGTTTACGACAGCAAAAGCTGACGCTGCAATGTGGAATGACAGAGACTGAGGCCGTGTCAGAAACAGGCTTCCAGAGCTAAAGCCAAGTCCACTGTCAGCACATCTCTGCGTACTTCCAATGGAGTGAAGACCTAGGCCTAGCTCTAGACAACAGCTTTGGATACAGCGTGATACACGCAAAATAAATACAAATGATGTCAACAACAAAAAAGAACACAACTGATAGTACATAAGCAGAAGAGATCTGGATCTCTGCACAAATCTTTCTGGTATAATCAGCTGATCTGTCTTCCTGGTACTGGGTACCTCCAAGTGCGGTTAAACTTAAAAAGTATCATGAGCAAAAGTGACTGGACTTACTGTGCACTTGTTGGGTTTCTCTCCAGAGTGTACCCGCATGTGAATGAGCAGCTTGTAGCGAGCATTGAAGGGTTTGTAGCGCCTGGTGCAGGCCTGCCAGAAGCAGGTGAAGTCTTCCCCCTTCCGCTGGTCAATGTGGACCTTCTCAATGTGCCTGACCATGTCCTCCTGGTCCTCAAAGACAGCACTGCAGTCGATCCAGCGGCAGATGTGCACCCGCTCGCTGTCCATCTCCAGGCTGGACTTGGCCGTGCTGGACCCCGGCGAGTTGACCTGAGTGGTGATGGCCGGGGACGCCTGCCGGGAGTGCGACTCGAAATGCTGGGAGTAAGGAGGCGGCGGGGGCATGTGCGACGGCACCAGTACGTGGTTGGCCATGGTGGGCTGCTGCGCGGAGGGCATGCTCTGCTGTTGGTACGGTGTGCCAGGCTGTGAAGGGTTGTACCCAGGCTGCAGCTGGTAACCTGCAGGGGCTTGTGGTGGGGAGAAGGGGGCCGCCTGGGAGAAATTGGTGGGCTGGTAGGACAGGTTGGCAGAGGTCTGCGGGTAGGCCGGCTGCTGGGAGAAGCCGCTGCTCTGGGAATAGGAGCTCGCAGAGTCCGGGAAGTTGTCCATAGGTTCCTGCTTGTACTGGTCAGTCTGGGAATAGGCATTTGGGTTGTAGTTCTGGAAATCCTGTTGCAGGACCTCGTTCCTTGGCTGTACTACCAGCTGACTGTCCATCTGAGAAATACTGGGTAAGGCCGACTGTTCTAGCGGTTCCATATGCGGGGCCAAATTACTACTGTTGTTGTAGGTACTGTACCCATTGGTAACTTTGGGAGGGTGGTATGGGGGTGGGGATACATCCCCCGTGTGAGCTCGTGGAATATAGGACGGATGATTTCCCGAAGATCCTTGGGACATTGGACTGCTGCTGTTCCTTGCCGACAGGTGACCGTAATCTCCCGCTTGCATTCCCGGCGACGGCGATATAGATGCAGAGGACCCCCTCGAACCAATGATGTACGCCACCAGCGAGGTTGGACTCGTCCTGATGATTGAATTGAGGTCGTCTGAGGAAAGTGGGGAGAGGGACAGTGCCCTTTTGCGTGACCGCGCTGAGAAGGACCGCGCCGAGTGACGTGGACTAGCGAAGCTGGACCCTGACGGGGAAATCTCAACCGGGAATGGTGAGAGGGAATTGAAGCTGCTGGCGTAGTGGGACAAGGAGGAGCTCGGCGGGGGGAAGGCATGGTCCCCGACATCGCTCCCAGCCTGTGACCCGGGCCCCTGGCTGTGCGGCGTCAACGAGGGCAGCATACGGCCGCTTCCCGACCACTCCTGCTTGATCGGCGTAGCGACCGTGCCAGGCTCCAGGAACATCTGGCGTTCAGCTGGCGGCTGGTTCTGCCCCGAATGGCTGGCGGAAGATGTGGCGGAGGGGATGCAGGGAGTGTTCCGGATGTTGGAGATGTCACTGAGAGTGGGCGACTGGGACAGGTTGTTGCTCTGTAGACGGACTCTGCGGACACCTGTTGTCGACGGAGGGCAGGTCAGGGACACATTACCACCTCCTCCTCCGCCACCCCCTGGTCGACTGGCAGTGCTCACCATATCAGAGCAGTAGTTGATATCTGATGGGAAGAAAAAAAGAAAACAAAGATCAAATTACAGGATAATTTGCCAAGAAACCACAGGATCATCTGTGATTTTTACTTCAATAAATAAGTAGAACCAATAGAAGTTTTGCACAGATACAAATGCGGAATCACCTGTTGACAAGCACATGGAGGATTTATCAGTCAGGCACGGTGTGATAAATATTGATTACGTGCTGCTGAATGGGAAATGCATTTATTTAAGCAGGTGAGCTAATAACTTAAAAATTCTGGAAACAAGTGACTGTGGTTAGCATGACTTGGAAGAGATGAGGACGATGTGTAACTTAAAGTCACACTTTCTGTGTCTGAAAGTTCCAACTGTGGTGGACGTATGCTGCAAACACTACACGATGTCAACGTACTGTGCAAGGTAGCCCGAATGTGCCGACAGGAAATCGTGTCAAGATGTTCGTGTGGAGTAATTTCTCCAATAGTTCCCTTGGAATAGCACAATGCAGTCTGTTACTGGACTCATAAACGACTACATTGTTCCTTTAACCCTAACCCCCTAAGGTGTATGTAAAATCGTATTGAAATTGGTAGATTTGGGACTGTTAGAGTTAATTTTCCATGAAAAGCATAGAAGCTGACAGTAAAACATACGCAAGGTGAAATGCCAATGTTGGTCCTCGTTCACATGCATTCAGTTCATGTAAATATGCTCCGGGATTCATGAGTGAGTTGACAACCTAGCCACGCCCAGTATTTTGCATCTGCTCAAGGGACCTGACTTTGTCATTGACCACTCAACACATGCACATGATGTTCCCTCAGTTGGTGTGTGAGAGTAAGAAATGCACAGCGCCCTCCATGGTTCAGGGACAGTGCCAATGGCAAATGATCCTGCATGAATCCCAACAATTTAAATCATTTCACTTTATTTAGAAATTAGAAGCAGACAAACACCACTGGGTGCATTCCTGTAAAACACTACAAAGCACTTTTCAGATCAAATAAATTATTCAACTTTAGACAGGTAAAGCAGGTATTATTCACATGATTAAAAAAAAAATTCAAAAAGAGCAACCAAGGACTGACTCCCTAAAAACCCACTCCAAGCAAAGGAATCTCAGGACAAAAGTGTAAGAGAACAACTTCAGCACATTCCCTCTGAAAGCCTGATAGGGCACCCTGCTGGGCCCGCTCAAGGAGGGGCAAGGGGACTTTGAAGGACCGCTCCACTTGAGCCTCCCTACTCTGTCTTCTCACTCAAAGCTCTCAGGTCACAAGAGTCGCACGCCAGAACCAAACTACTTGTTTGGGGCAGGCTGCCAGAAAGCGGGGATCAGGGACTGCATTAAGGACAGACTGTCAAAAGGATTGCTGGGCAAATCCTTTTATCAGGGGGTCAAAAGAGAAGGAACCGGCACTGGTGGTAAACAAGAGAAGTGGCTGATAGGGATACAAGTTGTCGGAGACAAAACGCAGGAGTGGCGGAGGTTACAAAAGACCAGTCCTCCTGGGGTGAGCGATGCCATATTGCCAAAGCCCTTAGAAACAACAGAATGATACATTCAAGAATGCAACAAGATTCACATTCGAGAGTGATCGTTTCCAAGATGGGCTATTTCCCCATTGACAGCAATCAGCGGGGGAGATGACTTGAAGAGAGAGAGAAAAAAAAAGAATCTCACAGATTCTCCTCCTGAGCTGCGTCTGCACAACTTGAAGCTGTTTCAGTGTGGGTGACTTCAGACAGACTTTCTAGAAAAGTTACTGCAATACTGCTGTACTGAGAATGTTAGTAAGTAGGTTAAACCTACATGTACATGTACAAATCTCCGTGTGTCATCCATTCGCAGTTAACCTTTAGTGGTAAATACATGTATTTACCAAATTACCATGACAACATGCATTATTCTCACCTCTGAGGTCATTGTATTATATGCAAAGTAAGAGATAAAGCTCAAGCCAAAACTTGGTGACAAAAGTTCCTCGGTCAGGTAGAAAATCCTTCCACATGCAGTCCTCCTAAATGAGATTCAGACTCCAGTTAACAACAGGCTCTTGGCAACTCAATGCTAAAATGAACTGCAACACAGAGTAACATGGTCCGGTTTTTCTACTCAGTTACTGTATCTAACAGAAGTATTCAGATTCACTCACTCTAACAAGGGACAAACGTTCCATGACATAAAACAAGGAAAGGCAACTTTGATTTTGTTTCATTCACGATGTGCAGTTCCAGAAAATTACATCACTTCCCACAACACAGCATGTCTTCTCTTTCCACTGCAGGTGGTTTTTCCAATTCCGTTTCAGATTCCACGTATTCTGTGGGTGTCACCATTGCCTTTGCTCTGCTATTTTGGAAACACTTTCACTTAGGGTCATTAAATTGTTTAACAAAGTGGTAATAAACTTCAAATGATATAAAACATGTTTTATTTATTGAAGCACTTGGAAAGAGTTCCAAACGTTGGCAAAATCATCAATCTGTTTAATATTTCACTTTTGAATTCTTTGCCTGTACTTTAAGACTTTTTCACCATGCCAAGCAATCGAGTTGAACCTTCCACAAACATGTGGGCACAGTGCAATGATCTTGTTACTTACTTGCCAACTTGGTGTACCGATCAATTTCTGATTTGAAACCAACACCGCTCACTGGAGGAGCAGAAACGGTGGAAAACAAAAACATCCCAGGGCCGGGATTGGCCAGTCCACCAACAGGAAGCCCCTGCCTTGGCCGCAGCCCGGGCCATAAATAGCCCCAACGACCAACTTTAATTAGTGTAAGGTATCACGGGCTTGTACTGTTGTAACATTATCGGGCGTGATTTTTTGCAAGACTCGCACGCAACATGTGTCCGTGAAAAGGGTTTAGCGTATCAGTTCAGCTGGCAGAATAACTTCAAGACGCCTCCCCAAATGATGCTGAGCAAAAAAAAAAAAATCAAAGGACACTCTGTGGTTGGAAGAAAAACCCGAGGATAAAATGTCTGACGTACATGTAAATCTATTCCCCATGGCTATAATTAACATGGCCTGTTACTGACAGAGAAATAAATATGGACGAGCCGATTGTCATAATGTGTCACTCTTGTACGGGAAATCTGCTGATTCCGAAAAAACAACTCGAGATGAAAAAGAAATAGTGAGGTTCTCAAGTGCATAAAGGTGCATTGTGTCTCTTTCATGCTTTCGTTCCCATGCAGCGGATCTTTTGTGAAGCTTGGTTGTAGAGCCTGTGCTTTTGCCACTTTGTAACCAAACAAGCAGGCACGCTAACCCACTAAAAAAGACCGATTAAGTGTACCCCCAATCCGTCAAAAAGATAAATACATTTCAATTGTTGTTGGACAAGAAGTCTTTTTTGGTCAATGGCTGAGTAAAGCCTTGCAAAATATCCAATTTCATCCAGAAATAGAACCAGAATTCAAACTTTTTTTCGGGGGGGGGAGGAGGGGGAAAGTAGGGCGGGAAAAGTGGACAGCACCGATATAAAATAATCGGCATTGTGTATTACTTAGTCTGTGCATAATGAAGACATTTACACTGGTGTAGTGTCAATGGTAAACTGGCAGACGTCACCAAGCTCAAGTCCAAAAGCATCTGGGTATTCTTAGCTCAGGTTTCAAAGCTGGAGCCTGGACAACATTGTTCCCAATTCCATCCCCATCCCTCCCCCCAAAAAGGTCATTCAAAGGACAATGTACCATTCATGTGACAATTTTCAACATTTTGACAATGTTTCTGGATCTGGTCTGCAACGTTTCTGCTGAATTCTTTCTCTCTCAAACCGCTGATTTCCACCAAATTGTTCCCCCATGTAAAATGCCCCTGGACCATGAAGGAATGCTGGGGGGGGGGAGGAGAGACAAAGCAACAATGGATTTGACTGTCCCTAGAGCTCAGAACAAAAAGGGAGACCAGACCTGGGCAGACAATGGCTTGCCTGAGGGCATGATCAATTTGCCCCAACAAGGTTTGGAATTTTTTCAGTGCTAAGCTCTTGGTCAAACACTACAATGGCTGGCCCTAGCATACCCCTTCCAGCCCCAATTAGAACAGTTATATTCAATTCCCAGTGTTCAGTTCCCAGTTCAATATTTTGCTCCTGAATATTGTAATGAGTGTATTTTAAGGCTACAGTAGGGGCAGATGGGTGTGAAATATTCCTCAGTACCAATGTCACACTGAACCACATCACAGAGCTGATTACATGAACTTGGTTCAGATTTGATAGAGGTGTGTTCTTTACAATCAATGCTTATGAGATCACTACATGTGCACAAACATATGCACTTACTTCTACATGTACTGCAGGCAACGGCGGAATGATTTTCATTAGACCATCAGGCATCAGTCATTAATGGGTGGATCCGTTAAGCCCCACCAAATTACAGGCACTGCAAAAAGGGGGGGAGGCTCCCCAGTCGAAAAAGTACCCCCCCATGCCAGTAATGCTGGAACTGTGTGCCACACTAAAGAATACAGGGATGTTCCTAAAAGAATTCCCAGCATTTCATGGGAACAAAAATTCCCTGACCTTTCCCCGATGGAAGTTACACATTCCAGGATCATCATTTTGACCTGTTTCTTGCTTATAACATCTTCAATAAACAGTAATTGCTGGTTATAAGGTTATGTGCGCACCACGGCAACATGTAGGCCTACATCGATACAGAGAGAAAGGGGCATTTACTACAAAATACACGGAGCTATACTTCAAAGCCACCTCTGCAATCATCCAGAGAATTCACTCTTTGGTAAGGACACGAGGCAAGAAAGGCTGACCACCGGACAAACAAAATTCCCAGATTTTTTCCTGACTTGAGGGACTTTTCTCAAATCCCCCGACTTTTCACTGACTGGAAAACGGGACAGTGAATGTTCCAGGTTTTCCCTGATTTCCAGACTGGCTGGGAACCCTGAAGAAATCAAGCATGAAAACTCAAAGGAGAAATTGTAAGTAAAAAATGCATTTATATGAGAATTCTACCTAACCCCAAATGTTTAATAGCAAACTT